AAGCCTTTTTTAGGTCCAGATAGATGCAGTCAACCCAACTATCTCTTTCCTGTAATATCTCTGTGGCTCGATCATAGAAACTGAGTAAATTCGATACACAGGATCTTCCAGATCGAAAACCATACTGTCTGTCTGATATTATATCATTTCTCTCTAGGTGTTCTACCCATTTAGTTTTGATTAGTTTTTCCAATACTTTCACTATTACACTTATAAATGATACAGGTCTATAATTGAGGGGGTCTTCCCTGCTGCCACTTTTGTAGATTGGAACTATGTTAGCCTGTTTCCACACGTCTGCTACGATTCCTGTACACAGGGATGCCTGAAAGATCAGGTGAAGTGGAATGCTGAGCTCAGATGCACATTCTCTCAGAACCCATGGTGAAACGCCATCTGGGCCAGCTGCTTTGTTCTTACCGAGCTCCTTGAGCATTTTTTCCACTTCGTCTCTAGTCACCTCTATGTGCTCTATGTTGTTCTCTGGAATTCTTATTGTATCTGGTTCCCTAAAGATTTCATTTTGTACAAACACACTTTGGAACTTTTCGTTTAGTGTTTCACACATTTCCTTTTCATCTTCCATGAATCTATTTCCCATTTTCAACCTCTGAATATTATCCTTTACCTGCAATTTGTTGTTTATGAATTTATAGAATAGACCTGGTTCTGTTTTACATTTGTCTGCAATCCCTTTTTTTTCTCGCATCTTTGTATCGCTGGTATGTTTGGGGGGTTCGGCCTCTTCCTGTATTGATTCCATTTTTGTGTCTTTTGGTCTCTAGCCCTCTCGCAATTTCTATTGAACCAATCCTGTTTCCTAGTTCTGCATCTCTGTTTTGGTATAAATTTTTTTGTGCCTTTATCATATATTTCACAGAACTTGACATACATCTCATTCACTTCCTTGCCTAGCATCAAGTCTGTCCAATTATACTCACTAAAAAAATTTCTAAGGTCACCATAAGGTGACTAAGGTGTGTGTGTGTGTGTGTGTGTGTGTGTGTGTGTGTGTAAATCACGAAAATTAACACGTGATGAAAAATGTGACAGTGTAAGACCACGGAGGAAGAATTGAAACAGGAATTTCCTTAAGTACTTTCGTATATTAATAAATCTAAAGAAGGAATCATTCCTTCATTCCTTTTAGTGATTTATATTATATAATATTTCATACACACTGTATATATATAAAATAGAGGAAAGATGTACAGTACAGGTTTTGCAAGTGGTTGCATAAATGCTTAATGAATTCAGTCACTTCCCTTCCTTACTACACTTCTACAAATTTATCTTTTCCAGCACAGCCTGTATGTTTATAGTGTACTGATTGACCAATTACACATCTTATTATGGTCAGTTAAATAAAACATTCAAATATATCAAGGAGAAGAAAAAAAAAATATATATATATATATACACATTTTATTTTGTAATGTATACAGTATTTATAAAAACTGACAAAATATGACTAAACGTTACACTCTGAGACCAAAGAACAACAACACTCTTATCAGTTTTATATAAACCAATGGTTGTGAGTGATGCCAAAATTGTATGTGCCGTTCAGTTCATAATAAAGATGAACCTTTTTTTTAGCATTACACCATCATAATGAAAAAAAAAAAGCAAATACTGTACAGTAATAAGGCAGGTGGTTTTACATACCTCAATGGTTGTGGCACATCAAAATTGCCTGTGCCTTTCCAGTGAATGACAAACCCTTACTACAGTACTATTAAAATATAATGTATTTTACACTTCAGATACTCAGATTAATACTCAGATTGAGTATATAGTTTATACAAATTATTATATTACAAAGAGATTCAATAAAATATAAAATGGCAATTGCTAAGATAGTTGACTAGATATATTTATAAATACTATGCCATAGAGGTGATCAAGGTTTTCTAGAGAAATATTAATTTATCACCGAGGAGTAATTTATGAAGGCATCACTGTCCCTACTCTAGAGTATATACTAGTAATTTATCGCGCGATCTTTAAAGGGGAAATGCGGGGTAGGGGGGGGGGGGGGGAGTTGTGTGCATGTGTTATACCAATGTTTGTCAGGTATCAGTACTCCAAATCTGACAGGATTTAAAAAATACATAAAACTCACTCACCCAACAATAATCAATCCCTCAAAATTATCTCGGCTATAAAGCTTCTTCTCTTTGCTTGAGCTTGCAACTATGATAGAGCTACTATTTTGAAGTAATTTACTTACTACAGTACTAAAATATCTTTTGAAAAAGCCCCAATACAAAATTTTAATATTTGAAAAACTAAAATTATAATATTCTATCTTATAGCCTTTTATTTCTCAATGCCAATATACAGTATCTATAAACTAAGTGCTGTACATAAATTATTTAAGGGACGTATTACGGAAAAATGCGATAAATGAAAACTGGTTTGATTTTAATCAAACTTTTTGGACTAGTTGTATATAAAATTTGATTCAACTTGCCCAAGTTTCAGCTTCGTAGCATAAATAGGAAGGGAGAAAAAAAAAAAATATTGAATTGTCAAAAATTTTCGAATAGCATATGATAAAGTATTTTTAATATTTACTTTTATGTCAAAAAAAAATGATGCTTTCTCAATTTTTTTATTCATATTTTTATCAGCCGATTTGCATGAAACTTATAACCTTACGGAACGTATGCCTATCTGTAAAGATGCAAATTTTGGAGGAAATTCGTTGAAGTCAACTTCAACCACAGGTGGCAGAGTGTTCGATCTTATATATATTTTCAAGTAACATAAAATTGCATCTCCTCTTTCATTTTTTTTCAATTTACATGAAATGTACACCTTGTATGTAGAAATGACGTCTCTACAACATTTATGAAACACTTTATTCCTAAGTTCATTTATTGATTTTATAAATATTTGCAAACATGAAATATTGACATGTATTTTTGGGGGCACTTTGACCACTTGTATTAGTAAAAATAAACATAATTTGGATATTCCTTTTTATAAAAATCCTTTATTATATGTTAATATGATATATGAGTGTCATAGAAATGATGTCATTTGAATATTGTGGTAGAAGTAGGATATTGAAAATGTGTAAAATTTGTTAGAAAAAAGAAAAACAAAAACATATCTCCCTTTCTATTTGGGGTGTGATACTGAAACAGAGAACAGTTGCAACCCTTCTTATATTCAACAAGTAAAAAAAGTTTGGTTGACATTAAACAAAATTTTAAAGCATGTTTACTGCCCCCTTAAGCTACAAACCAATACTACAAAACAAAAAGATATTTACCAGAAACTCAAAAAAAATTATTACTAATTGCAAAACCATTGGTACACACAAAGAAAAAAAAAGAAAAAAAAAAAGAAAAAGAAAAAAGTGATATACATAAAATACTGACACCTTTTAAATTTGCAAGAGAGATTGGGATGAAGTCGACTCAAGTCTTTAATTTGTACAGAATAATCCTCAGGTTCCTAGCACTGCACAGCATTTACACTAGATGAAATAATGCACAACAAATGTTGTGCATTATTATTGTTATTACACTATATACACTCATTGTATATATCTATCTACATGTTTTATTCACCATAACTGTACAACTAAGCTGGTATGGTGTCCAAACAGTACTGTTTGGACACCATACTGCGGCTACTGCATGACAAGTCACAGCAGACGACAGCCTCACTCACTCCCTCACCTAAATGGCTCCTCCCAACATAAGCCTTTTGCTGATATTACACACTATACACACGTTATATATAAGTATCTACATTTGTGTTCACCATAGTGGACCAGTATCCAGTATGGTATCCGGTAGTAGTATCCAGACCAGTATATTTCTGTGAATAATTCCATTTCTCCTACACTACCCATAAACATTGGTGTTCCACAGGGCCCTCTCCTCTTTCTCATCTACATTAATGACCTTCCAAATGCCTCCCAACTCCTCAAACCAATCTTATTTGCTGATTACACAACTTTCATTTTCTCCAGTCCTGACCCCCTTGCTCTAAATGTCACTGTGAATACTGAACTAAATAAAGTCCATCTTTGGCTAACTGCTAACAAACTCACCCTTAACATTGACAAAACTTTCTATATTTTGTTTGGTAATAAATCCTCAAATGAAATTAATCTAAGAATAAACAATATACAAATCAGTAGTAAAGTTGATGGTAAATTCCTTGGTGTCCTCATCAATAACAAGCTGAATTTCCAGGGACACATTCTAAATATAGAAAAAAATAGTTTCTAAAACTGTTGGCATTCTTTCTAAGATCAGATATTATGTACCTCACCCTGCCCTGGTGACGCTCTATTACTCTCTCATCTATCCTTATCTCAACTATGGTATTTATGCTTGGGGTTCTACTACCCAAAATCATTTACGTCCTCTAATTACTCAACACAAAGCTTCTATTAGAACAATATCTAACTCTGGCCCCAGACAGCACTCGGTACCCTTACTCAAATCTCTGAATATGTTAGATATCAAGTCACTGCACATCCTCTCATGTGTACTCTATATATTTAAAACTTTGAATTGCAATATCAATCCTGACCTTAAAAGCTTCTTAGACAGTTGTAACAGAACCCATGAGCACCACACCAGAAACAAATTCCTATTTGATATTCCAAGAGTACGACTTAAACAAACTAGAAATGCTCTACAAATCAAGGGACTCAGTAAGTGGAATGACCTTCCCAATCATGTCAAAGGCTGTACTTCTCTCAACCAGTTTAAGATGAAAACTAAGTACTACTTAATTAACTCCATGTAACATGCCTTACCCTTAAATGTCAACCCATGTTTTACTATTTTTTAAATAATGCTGTTTGTTGACCAACTTGTATACTGGCTATTTTCTACCATGTTTCCCCCTTTTTTATCTTTTATTTTTTTTTCTTTCAATGCAATTTATACTTTAAGCTCAATTACTATTAAGTTTTAGTCTAAGTGTTTTTTTTCCCCCACCTCACCTTGCCCGAAACGCTATGCGTACTAGTGGCTTTAGGTATTGTAGGTACTAACTCTATCTATAAATCAATCATAATGTTTGTAACTCTGCATCTATGTATGTACTTTTCCTAAATATAATATTATTATTATTATTATTATAATAAGCTGATATGGTGATTCCAGACAATAACATGTTGCCACACACCAGCCAGTAGCCGACGCCACCTCTCCCTCCCTCCCTCACCAACAGTACTCCTCCCACTGCTAACTCACATTGCTAATTCTCACCACAATCCTGCTATTATTAGAGTCCTGGTCACTAAACCATGTAAATGAATAATTTTCCACATTTTTATTTTGTAAAGGAACATGAGAAATTGTTTGAAGAATTTTAGATGGATGAAATATTGGTAGTGTGCTGTGGCTAGCGCTGTGAACCTCTTCAACGGCATTTATTCACCGATATCTGAACATTGTACACAGTCTTTATCACAGTCAGGCTCTTCTGCAATATTATCATGGCTAAATAATACCAGATACACATATATTTGGAAAATTTTAGGCGGTCAATTCTGTGGTCAAAAGCTGAACAGCAATGCTGTTAGCTCATGTTGCGTGCACCAGCTTTGGTTGCTCACTCAGTACTGAGGCCTTCACATCCGGGAATGTTGCCCATGATTTTTTTTTTTTTAATGATGTCTGTTTAGGAGAGTCCTGAGGAAGCTGATGTGAACCCCGTGTAGCCGCAGGAGTTTTAAATGATACGCTATACATATAAGATCCCTGAGGCGTGTTGTGCTCCACCCATCAAGAGCCTCAAGACGCGTTGCGCAGTGTAGTGGTTAATAAACTATATTTATGTTAAATATAAATAAAAATATGTACAGTAGTTTGAAAATATTAAATTTTTCTCAGCATATTATGTACAGTTATGATTCAAATTATGGTCTAGGTATTGGCCAGACAAACAATTTACCGGGGTTGTAACACTCTTGCATTTGATGCCAACTTATTTAATGCAGTACTGTAGTCAATTGTCAAAGATCGCCAAAGTTGAACCACAGCTGATCATTGTTTACTTGCAGTCTTTGTAGAATATTGTTATTGTTTAGCTTGAAGGCCAACAATATGCGATAGGTACAGTGTGATATTGTAACAACACAAACATTGCAGGTTGTTACTGCATGAATGCACTGCATTCAAATTTTAGACCTAAACAAACTAATTTGGTTAATGTACAAGTTCACAAATTTTGGATGCATTTCTTTAAAGAAATTATTTATACACTAAGAAATAATAATTTTTATGATGTATAATAATCTTCCACTGGAATGGAGAATACACAAAATTGACAAAACATGTAAAAAACATTGAAAAATATACGTACCATATTTTTATTATCATAGAATAGACTGTGTAATAAGAAAGATTTGTAATATATTAAATGAAATATACACCATACAGTAGTCATTCAGTCCACAAAAATAACCCCATTCTTATAGCCACAGGTTTGAGCAGGACCCAAGTAATTATCAGAGTTTTCAAGGAGAACAGTACCAGCTTAAATTGTTAATAGTCAGTCGACGCAACTTATGAATTCAAAGTGAGAAAACCAACAAATATTTACAGAAGTGATTGTGCCTTGTGCTAAACCATGAAAGGTGTTATCAGTTGGCACATGGGTTGTGCAAATGGTAAGCCACAAGCATGATAAAACCCTCTCTATCTGCACCTGGGCCACCAGTGTTCCACAACACAGTACCATGCAAATGCAGTAACTAACGAGAGGTGAAGAATAATGCAGTAGCAGCCAATCCTAATCCAATAGCTGTCCACGTGAGGTAACTCCATGCCTCACTTTCTTGATCTTCGGCTGGAAATTCTTCGCATATTTTTATCTGCAAAGGAGAAAGACTAATTACAAGTGCTGACATATCAATGATTTACAGTACAGTACTGTACTGTATTTGCATTAATTTTAAGATTAAACACTTGGACGCTGCATTTACTTTAAATGCAGAACAGAAAATTGGTTTTACAGAGATATAATGGGAAATGAATTAATCCATTCCTGACTACCCAAAAACCTCGCTTCAAACTAAATTTTATACCTAATTCATCTAAATAAATCTACAAAACTATATTCAAGTTATTACTTACCCTTGCTGATGACTGCTGTTGGCGTATGGAAGATAATGAGGAGGAGGGAGGAGGAGAGGTGTTACTGTTTGGAAGGGCAGTCCCCTTCCATTATAACATCAGGCAGTGAGGACCTTTCTGGTGTGCACTCCCTGGCACGTTTTGCCTGCATACTACTAGGTTCTGGTTGTGGCTCACTGCTCGATTTCCTCACAACAAATCTGTCCATGGAAGCTTGTTTTTCCCTTCTTCGCAAGCTGTCTCTGTAATAAGGCATCACATTGTCATTGAAAAGATTAAGGCAACGGCCTACTACAGCTTTCTCTGGGTGAGTCTTTTCAATAAAAGTTTGCATCTCTTCCCACATCTGACACACCTTAATTTTTGCAGAAGGGACATTCGCTACTGCCTCGTCCTCCTCCACTGGAGAAACATCCTCAGCTGGGTCTTCTTGCTGTTCCTTTTGAAGGGCTTGGCGTTCTTCGGTGGTCAGTTCTTCGTTGTGTTCTTCCACCAACTACTCCACATCATCACCATCCAATTCCAAGCCCATTTGCCGGCCCAGAGTAACAATTTCCTCAACAATAGGCGCATCATTTACAGGCTCAAACCCTTCAAAGTCTAGTTCTGTCACACATTCAGGCCACAATTTTCTCCAGCCAGAAATCAGGGTTCTCTGAGTCACTTCTTGCCAGGCTTTGTCAACGAGTTTTAAAGAACTACAAATGTTAAAATGGTCTTTCCAGAACTCTTTGAGAGGTAGGTTTGTGGCTTCAGTCACTTCAAAACACTTCTGGAAAAGTGCCCTTTCATACAGTTTTTTAAAATTCGCTATGATTTTCTGATCCATAGACTGAATTAGAGGAGTGGTGTTAGGAGGAAGGAACTTTACTGTATCTGTGCATCAATTCATTTTCCAATCCTGGAGGATGAGCAGGAGCATTGTCGAGGAGAAGCAGGGCTTTGAGTGGCAAATGTTTCTCCTGCAGATATTTTTCTATGGCAGAGCACAGCACTTCATTCACCCACTCTGAAAAAAAAATCCTAGTCACCCATGCCCTTTTATTAGCCTTCCACATCACACACATTTGGGTTTTCTGCACTTTATACTGTTTGAAAACCCTTGGATTTTCAGGATGATACACTAGCAAGGGTTTAATTTTCAAATCGCCACTCGCATTTGAACACAGCACAAGCGTAAACCTATCTTTCATAGGCTTGTGTCCAGGCAAGGATATTTCCTCCTTGGTAACGTATGTCCTCTTAGGCAATCTTTTCCAGAACAGTCCTGTTTCATCACAATTAAACACTTGTTGCGGTAGGTATCCCTCAGCCTCTGCAAACTCTTTAAATTCTTCAATAAATCGTTCAGCGGCTGGTTTGTCTGAGCTGGCTGCCTCCCCATGCCTCACAACACTATGGATACCACTTCTTTTTCTAATTTTTTCAAACCACCCTCCTGCTTGCCTTAAACTCTTTTGTATCTGCATCACTCGTTCCAGGGATTTTCTTTACAAGGTCTTCGTGCAATACCCTGGCTTTCTCACAAATGATGGCCTCCGAAACACTATCACCCTTTAACTCCTTGTTGTGTATCCAAATTAATAACAACTTTTCCACTTCTTCAAGTATTTGTGGTCTTTGTTTTGTGATTGTTCTTACGCCTTTTGCCACTTTAGCACTCATAATGTCCTTTTTCTTGCTATGTATAGTGCATATTGTTGACGTGGCTTTGTTGTACTGCCTACAAAGTTCAACAACACGTGTACCATTTTCATGCTTCTGAATGATCTCTTGTTTTTCCTCTATTGTCATCCTCTATTTATGGGAGCCGGTCGGTCGAGCGGACAGCACACTGGACTTGTGATCCTGTGGTCCCGGGTTCGATCCCGGACGCCGGCGAGAAACAATGGGCAAAGTTTCTTTCACCCTATGCCCCTGTTACCTAGCAGTAAAATAGGTACCTGGGTGTTAGTCAGCTGTCACGGGCTGCTTCCTGGGGGTGGAGGCCTGGTCGAGGACCAGGCCGCGGGGACACTAAAAAGCCCCGAAATCATCTCAAGATAACCTCTAGATCCTCACATGAGCTTTCTTGCCTTGATCCTTACCACTGGCTTTCTTGGGACCCATGTGAGATATATAATAACAACTTTTATGGTTAAATGACCAAAAATCCAACAAAACACTGAAAATCCGGGTGAAGAATTGACGTGGGATAGTCACTGGGCACGAGGCACTGGTAAACTGAGGGCCGAGGGGCGACAATCGTCGTACCACCACGCGCTAGGTCGGCCTGTACACATATCAACAAACTCGTGTTCCGAGGTAACCCTCGCCTTCAGAGGCATATTTTCCGAGTAAATCCTGCTCGTATTCCGAAAAACTCGTATTCCGAGATACCACTGTATTAGCTTTCTGGCATCAGTCACTGTGCATGGAGTTCTTGCCTATCAGGGACCACGAGCCAGAACCTGGCCCCCCTCAGAAAGGCACGAGGAGCAATGGCCTATAGAAACCCTCGTGTGGTTGGGAGCATTCTATGTCATCGACCGGGTCTGGCACCCAGAAAGGTAGGCGCCCCAAAACAAACCCCTATTCTGGTAAAAAAATTGCTACCAACAGCCGAACGAGTGGACAAACTCCCCAAACAAAAATTAGCAAACGAGCATGACGTCATCATGTTGCCGCGGCCGCTGTCTGAGAAACTCCCCCTGCTCAGGAGGGGTAAAAGGGGGAGCCCTAAGCCATCGAGCCGGCGACTCAACCTTCAGTTCTTAGGCTGGATGTCAAAATACCAGCGTTGAATGCAATGAAAACCATTTTCTGGGCGAGTCCCCGAGGCTCCCCTGCATCCCTCCTGCTTGATGGGGTTCTGGGAGTTCTTCTACTCCCCAAGCCCAGCCCAAGGCCAGGCTCAACTTGTGAGAGTTTGGTCCACCAGGCTGTTGCTTGGAGCGGCCCGCAGGGCCACATACCCACCACAGCCCAGCTGATCCGGAACTTCTCTTAGAAAACAGTCCAGTTCTCTCTTGAAGATGTCCACGGTTGTTCCGGCAATATTTCTTATAGTCGCTGGGAGGACGTTGAACAACCGCGGACCTCTGATGTTTATACAGTGCTCTCTGATTGTGCCTATGGCACCTCTGCTCTTCACTGGTTCAATCTTGCATTTTCTTCCATATCGTTCACTCCAGTACGTTGTTATTTTACTGTGTAGATTTGGGACCTGGCCCTCCAGTATTTATTATTTTTCGGGTTTTTGACATCCAGCCCCAAGAAATGAGGTGTGGGTAGCCGGCATGAGGGGTCTGGGGCTCCCCCTTACCCCTCCTGGGGAGGGGGGGGAAGAGCTGCGCAGACAGCGGCGCTGCGACGTATGACGTCATACTAGTTAGCTCGTTTTCTGTTTGGGAGTTATATCCACTACTTCGGCTTTTGCTAGCAATTTTAACTGGATAGGGGTTTATTTTGGGGTGCTTACCTGTCTGGGTGCCTGATCCGGTCGATGGCAGACAGAATGCATCCAACCACACGGGGGGTTCTATAGGCCATTGCTCCCCTTGCCTCTCTGAGGGGGCCAGGTTCTGGCTGTGGTCCCTGGTAGGCCTAAGAACTCCATACACATGACTGATGCCAAAGTCTGACATTAGCATATCAGCCTGGGATAGCTCTGAGGAGCCAACGGGGCTCCCCCCAGAAACACCACCAACTGGGAGGGAAGGATGCCGGGGAGCCTCCTGGATTCACCCAGAAAACGGCGTTTCATTACATTCAACGCTGGTTTTCTGGGGGTTTTCTGTCAGCTCCCTGGAGCTAACTACCCAAAGACAAGGAAAAACTGGGACTTACCTGGGTGGCAGTCAGTGCTCACTCCTCAACCCAAAGGCAAGACAACTGGCTGCAATAGCCGACCCAATGCAATGCAGGCCCTACCAGGTCCAGGGACATTGACATGGTAGCGAGCGGCCAGGACCCTGTTTGACTTCCAAAAACTCCGTGCTCGAATGTCAACCTAAGACATGTTTACAAAGACGGCAGCCAAAGCAGCAAACTTACAAACGTCGTGGGCACGAGGATAGACTGCAGGATGGCTAGACTTAATAACCCTGCAGACGACCTGGGAGGCCCGGGAACAGGGAAGGAGGGAAATCGGGTCACCCCAAAGCGCATCCCCAACCACCGAAGCCGTGGCACGCATATAACGGCAGAGAGTCGCAACCGGACACAACACATGATGCACCCCCGGCCTGACCAACCAAGCAATCAACAACCCAAGGACCCCTCCTGAAAGCAGCAGTCTCATTCTTCGCCAGAAAAGAAGAGGCTGCAACCAAACAAACCAACTACCAGGCCCCCCCCCCCCAAAAAAAAGCACAAATTCCTACGCTGGAGGAGAGAATGAAGCTTCCCGGCTCGACCCCCCAGAGGTCAATGCCAACAGGAAAATAGCCTTAGAAGCTCCGGCTGGATGACCAGGCTCGAATGCCTCCGCCACCACCCTGGAAGGGGACTCCCCAGAGACTGCCAGTCTCTCAACACCAACTAAACCCTGCCTCGACTCTGAAACCCCAAAGTCCGGGTCCCTATAACCAAAACAGGGCAGTCTCAGGGCATCCGGGGAAGCAACAAACCTATCGCGTTGCAGCAACCTAAAACGAGCATGCAACGCATTTGCTGCCTGCACCCTCATATCATGTTCAGTAGCTTGGGTGAACTGGAGCATGTACAAAGAACAAACATCGCACAACTCTGGGTCAAAAGAATCACAGACCCGACAGGCAGCATGGCAGAGTTACAACCGGTGATTGTCACCCTGAGACAAGGGGGACAGAGCAAGCATCATCCTTGCACGAAGCGAGAGGGAACTCAAGGGTCACATCCATCGGACCATGGAACCCCCACAGGGGTTTCTCAGGGCCCTTAGCCTTTATATTACGCTAAGGAAAGCCCAGGCAGGGTACTCTGAACCAGCGCCCAAGACTACCGAACAAACTTCTAAAAGCTGAACCCCCGGAACGTGTCCACTCACAGGGGCCTAGCAGGTGGTACCACCGAGACAGATATGGATATATAAAAACCCAAATGTAGATAGGGGCAACCAACCAAGGGCAGACCCCCCCCCCCCCCCCAACAAGGCAGGAAAACAAAAACAAAAGAAAAAACCCGTCAAGACGACAACGAACCCAGGTGGAACAGAGCCGGCCGCTTTAATAGGTGAAAACTAGCTGTGCAGTACCCCGTGCCCCTACCAGTGATTAAAACTATCCCCTACCCAGAGGCAAACTAGGGCAACAAAAATGCAGGCGATGAGTCACAATAACATGGCTGAGGAATGTTGACCAGACCACACACTAGAAGGTGAAGGGACAACGACGTTTCGGTCCGTCTTGGACCATTCTCAATCGACTTGAGAATGGTCCAGGATGAACCAAAACGTCGTTGTCCCTTCACCTTCTAGTGTGTGGTCTGGTCAACAGGGCAACAAAAACCCCAGCCAACTCCAAGGGCGGCCAATTAGCGAGCAGTAAAAGACACAGCGGAAGTACATCCCAAGGCAATTTGTGGAAGGTGCCCCAAGCTCCTAGGGCAGTACTTACTGGGCACCTGGGGAAGGAAACCCTAGGCACATGCAGCCAGAGTACCATAGAATATTAATCCTGGCTCACACACCACCTGTAGAGATAGACCACACCACAAAGCACAGAAACTGAGACCAAAGCAGGAGCCAGAGGCACATGACCTGCCAGTATCACATCAGCCAAGAACTGAAGGTTGGGTCACCGGCGCGAGGGTTTAGGGATCCCCCTTCCCCCTCCCGGGGAGGGGGAGGGGGGTTACGCAGACAGTGGCACGGCAACATAACGTCATGCCCATTTGCTAATTTTTTGGGGAGGGGTGGGGCAGGGTAACGAGTTTGTCTACTCGTTCGGCTTTCGGTAGCAATTTTTTCACCAGAATAGGGGTTTGTTTTGGGGCGCCTACCTTTCTGGGTGCCAGACCTGGTTGATGGCAGACATAGACTGCTCCCAACCACATGCCTATAGGCTATTACTCCTTGTGCCCCTCTGATTGGGGCCAGGTTCTGGCTTGTGGTCCTTGGTAGGCAAGAACTCCATGCACATTGATGCCAGAAAGCTAATATGTCCATATCAGCCTTGATAGCTCCGGGGAGCCGACATGACTTCCCCCCAGAAAAACTGTTTTATCTTCCCGTATATTCGGTAGTGTCTGGTACATCAAAGCATAACTAATTCTGAACCAGATGTGGTTCAATTACACAAGGGTAACCAAGAAATGAATCCCTGGTTTTCTATGCTGTCATATCAATACAATATGTGCTGTACATTATTTTTAAAAAATACAGTACAGTGGGAACTCTCTAGAATGTACTGTAACACTGTACAGGTATATGGGTTGTACCAGTTTATTTGATTTGGTACTCATCAGGCTGCTTTTTCAACATTCAGTTTGGAGAATATTTAAATATAGCATTTATTGTTTGATAAATATTAATTGCACTATAATACTGTGAACCTATTAAATTCTGGAATTTATTTAACAGACTCCACTAGGCACCAGACTAAATCGGCCCACCAGGTATCCCCTTTTAAGTAATTTCCAGCAGATATTATTTTTTCCTTAATTTAGCCGTTATGACTATATAGCATTTTGAAGGGGGCCAGGATAAGCATTTGGGATGGGATAGGGGGGGGGGGGAAGGAATGGTGCCCAACCATTTGGGATGGACGATAGAGAGGTGGTCTCGCTTCATACAGGTCAGCGTTCAATCCCCAACCGTGCAAGTGGTTGGACACCGTTCCTACCCCCCCATCCCATCCCAAATCCTTATCCTCACCCCTTCCAAGTGCTATACAGTTGGTGGGGGGGGGATATATAGTATGGGGGGAACAAAAAAAATAGTAGTAACAGTCGATTCATTGACAGTTGAGAGATAGGCCAAAGGAGTAGAGCTCAACCCCCGCCAGCACAACTTGGTGAATACAACTATGGAATCCATTTCTAAAAATTAATAACAGTAATACTTAAATAACGTTATAAAATAGTATAGGAACATGTTAGTAGAACACACAGAACATGTAATCACATGTTAATGATTAATCATTAACATGTGATTACATGTTAATTACATGAACGATATCTGTACCTACTAATTTATTAGTAGGTACAGATATCGTTCATTATATAAAGCCACTGATTACGTTCAGTGTAGTCTGATGGTTCATTTGACAAGTAAAATCTAATATTTCTTGACAGACAACCAAGATGCTATATACTTTGGTGCAATTGCCAATGCAAAGCTACATTGTCACTCAAGGTTAGAGCAACCAATAGAACTCCAAACAAGAGTCTGTCAGCGGAGTATGGAAGACATATGCCCTGCTAACTGTTACAATTAATATTTCTATAGGCCATTACAGATTAATTTATTCATGATAAAAATAACTAAAAGAACATAACTTACCCAACCACCAGCCTTCCTGACGAAGGGCGCAACCACTTCACTGGTGTACTTGTCCGTGAATGTTACTATTGTGTCGCTGAAGTCCTCCATATTTTCTTCTTTGCAGTACAAAGCCAACTGTCCACTAAAGGCATAGAGCGCCACTATCCTGGCCCAAGTAATGGTCTTTCCACCTTCAAATAGTTCATTGGCAGCTGCAAAAAAGGAAACGTATCTGGTCTCTCTGGTAATGTTTAATTTCTTCATCATTCCTTTCAAGAATATGTGGTGTCTGTGCATGATCATCTCGACACACCTGAGGAGTGTCTCTTCCACCTTATCGTTCGTTTTTGCCTCCGTCTTCCCCACCAGGGAGGACACTACATACTTGGCTAGACTGGCAGCCTTACTCTCCACACTATCTCCCTCCTGTGACCCTTCCCCACTCTTGGCTTCACTCTGGCCACAACTGTCTACGCTAGCCTCCTGCGTGTGCCTGCAGGAGGCTGGCTCTTGCGTGTGCCTGCTGGAGGAGGCTGGCTCCTGTGCATGCCTGCAGGAGGCAGCGAGGGAGGCTGGCTCCTGCCTGTGCCTGCTGGAGGAGGCTGGCTCCTGTGTGTGCCTACTGGAGGAGGCTGGTTCCTGGGTGTGCCTGCTGGAAAAGTCTGGCTCCTGTGTGTGCCTGCTGGAGGAGGCTGGCTCCTGTGTGTGCCTGCTGGAGGAGGCTGGCTCCTGTGTGTGCCTGCTGGAGGAGGCTGGCTCCTGTGTGTGCCTGCTGGAGGAGGCTGGCTCCTGTGTGTGCCTGCTGGAGGCGGCGAGGGAGGCTGGCTCTTGCGTGTGCCTGCTGGAGGAGGCTGGCTCTTGCGTGTGCCTGCTGGAGGAGGCTGGCTCCTGTGTGTGCCTGCTGGAGGAGGCTGGCTCCTGTGTGTGCCTGCTGCAGGAGGCTGGCTCTTGCGTGTACCTGCAGGAGGAGGCTGGCTCTTGCGTGTGCCTGCTGGAGGAGGCTGGCTCCTGTGTGTGCCTGCTGGAGGAGGCTGGCTCCTGTGTGTGCCTGCAGGAGGAGGCTGGCTCTTGCGTGTGCCTGCTGGAGGAGGCTGGCTCCTGCGTGTGCCTGCTGGAGGAGGCTGGCTCTTGAGTGTGCCTGCTGGAGGAGGCTGGCTCCTGTGTGTGCCTGCTGCAGGAGTCTGGCTCCTGTGTGTGCCTGCTGGAGGAGGCTGGCTCCTGCGTGTGCCTGCTGGAGGAGGCTGGCTCCTGCGTGTGCCTGCTGGAGGAGGCTGGCTCTTGCGTGTGCCTGCTGGAGGAGGCTGGCTCCTGTGTGTGCCTGCTGGAGGCTGGCTCTTGCGTGTGCCTGCTGGAGGAGGCTGGCTCTTGTGTGTGCCTGCTGGAGGAGGCTGGCTCCTGTGTGTGCCTGCTGGAGGAGGCTGGCTCCTGCGTGTGCCTGCTGGAGGCGGCGAGGGAGCTTGGCTCCTGCTGTTCGTCACTGGTGGTGCTGCCATTACACACTCCTGCCTGCCTCTTCTCACACTTGCCCTCCACCGACGGCGAGTGGAACCCTTCGTCCCACTCTGTGTCATAACTCCCCTTTATGACCACAGCCGGGCTGGCTCTGTCCGTCACGAAGGCCATCACACACAACGTCACCTTTCATCTGACGGGATGACTGTTGTTGTTGACTTAGGGGCGACGACGATCAAAGGAGCGGATGCGCCCCGGTTGCCCGATACCGGGAAATACCTAGCGAATGGGGTCCCTATAGTCTCTTCAGGCCACAGACCCTACAATCTCCTCAGGCCACATACTTTACAGTCTCTTCAGGCCACGGACATGAAGGACGAAGCGGAAGGTATGGCGAAGGATGTCATATCAGACGTCTTCGTCTCTCGCACCTGCCCCGTCAAGGAGAACGGGAACTGTGAGGCGGGGAATATTCAGCCTACGAACGGCACTCTGTAGGCTGACGCGAGCACTATGAAATCTAGGGCAGTGAAGGTGTTCCACTGTATCCTCATGGGTCGGACACCACTGGCAGTATGGGGAATCTACAGCCGTAGGCGATGGAGATGTGAAGCTAGGCAGGTGTGCCCAATCCGGAGACGAGTGATGGCCGTGTCGAGGAGTCGAGAATGATGACGAGTCCATGGACGCGGGGAGGAGCTCTCCCGAAGACCCGCCAAAGAGGACCTGAGTGCTGGCGACATTACTGCCTCCCAACTCTCGTGGCAAGCCAGCCGGAGTTGTGGGAGAAATTCGGAAAGATCCGGAGGCACATATGTAGAGTCATGGAGGAGACCATACGCCATCCCTGCTGCTACGTCGGCCACCTCATTGCCATTAATACCGACATGTGACAGAACCCATTGGAGATAGACCAACCCGGAGTACTAGAGTATGACAGTAGTTCTCCATGGATCTGTGACACAGTATGACGATAGACTCATGGACGCCGAAATGATGTCAGATGTAGGGCTGTAACTAAGTACACGTAGAAAACGACCGCAGAGGGTCCTGAAACTTGTCGAAGGAGTCATAAGACTAGCAAGATTACAAATAGTTCCCCGGCCAGGCACGAATGAGCAGGGGAGAGCTTCCACGTCTGACAGAAGGAAAAAGGAGCAAAGTATGCTGCCGCAGATGTGGATGGTGCCTGATCTTTGCGGGACCCATCCGTGTAAGCCTCCAAGTATCCAGGGTATAAGGAAGCTCGTAGGTCTGCACAAATTAAAGGGTCCAGACCCTCTAAATCCCTCTTCCGACGAGGAGGCTTGGAAAAGTCCACAGAAATCCGAATGAGCTCTTCTGCCCACGGAGGCACCAAAGAGATTATCGGACCAGGGGTGAGTACAGGGACGAGAAGGGAAAATTGTGAGTATGCATCCAAGGCCCGGACGACGACAGGCAGCTGACGGCACCTGGAGTGTCCAGCCGGCACATTCCACCAGCTAGCCAGCCGGCACATTCCACCAGCTAGCCAGCCGGCACATTCCACCAGCTAGCCAGCCGGCACATTCCACCAGCTAGCCAGCCGGCACATTCCACCAGCTAGCCAGCCGGCACATTCCACCAGCTAGCCAGCCGGCACATTCCACAGCTAGCCAGGCACATTCCACAGCTAGCCAGTCGGCACATTCCACAGCTAGCCAGCCGGCACATTCCACCAGCTAGCCAGCCGGCACATTCCACCAGCTAGCCAGCCGGCACATTCCACCAGCTAGCCAGCCGGCACATTCCACCAGCTAGCCAGCCGGCACATTCCACCAGCTAGCCAGCCGGCACATTCCACCAGCTAGCCAGCCGGCACATTCCACCAGCTAGCCAGCCGGCACATTCCACCAGCTAGCCAGCCGGCACATTCCACCAGCTAGCCAGCCGGCACATTCCACCAGCTAGCCAGCCGGCACATTCCACCAGACAGATGGACAGAGAACAAGACATACAGCGTGTGTGTTTAGAGGTAAAAATAATTTTCATCTCACATAAACGATAGGAAACTTCAGTGATGCTAAACAGATCTCTCCCCGATGTCAAAACATTTTTATGAGTTAACAAGGGAGGAATGAGCTAGACACACCCGTTCCCTGCAAAGGCTGCGTCTACACTAACTGTCAGGGTGCTTAATAAGGTGTAATGAGAAAGTTGGACCCAGGTGACAATCTTGTGGTTTGAGAGCTGTCAGATTCTCAGTGATTACGGGTGATTTATGCGGACACTTAATAGGCTTCTCCTCACACTTGTTGAGATGATTGTTTAACGGCTCTTATCTACATGTCAAATCACCTCGTTAGGAATGAAGGAATGTGTGTGTGTGTCCTCTGCCGCCGTAGCCATCACCTGCATATCTTCTCCTCTCCTTTCAATCTCTACTCCAGTTATATAGGGATTAGGGGAAAGTATACAAATTTATATAATTTTATTCTTAATTTTATCTGATACACACTGAGCACAGTTCTTTCTACAAATTAATTGAAACATTTAGCTCTCTCTCTCAGTGACACGTCGAACAGCGGCTTGTCTTTCCTGTTACTCCTCTCACAGTGGAGTAGCTGTCTGCCTTTCTTGAACACCGTCCGTCTCGATCTGTCTGTCTGTCCAGCCTAACACGCTTTCGCACGTTGAACAGTGAACTAACATGCTGAAAAAAATATTCTCTCACTGTCCACCATAGATAATCTTATTATTATTATTATTATTAGTATTATCAATCCACTACACTTGAACTGCTACTTACCATACTATTAACCTACTCAGTTTCTTCGCATAATTTCACACAGTTTTCACTCTCATTAAAGCAGAAAGTTTGCTTGCATGGCGTCATTTTCATCCTTGCATAAGTAAATCTCAGCATTTTTGCATCATTCATGCGAAATTTACCATATTTTAATGTATCATTGAAGTGTATAGCAAGGCTTTCTTCAAAGGTAATAGGGAAAAATGAACGACGAAATATATAGCATAATTCCCACAAACGTAGCTGTCCAGGCTTTGCAATATTGTTGTTGTTATAGATTCAGCTACGCGGAACAAGTTCCAAGCAGCACGGGCTATGGCGAGCCCGTAACTTACCTGGCACAGGAGCGGGGCAAGTAGCACGGGCTATGGTGAGCCCGTAGTGGACTTACCTGGCACAGGAGCGGTGCCGTCTGCCTGGCTTTGCAATCTCTTTATAATATATAGCTCATAGTCTTGGAAGTAAGGTGAACCACAGTAAGCCAGCACGTGGGTGGAGGGGAAGCAGAAACTTCATAAACTCTTCGAAATGTGTTGAATACGTTCCAATACTAGGGTTTGCGTAACTGTCTAGTATAACAATCTTACTTCGATCTTTATCCTTAGTATCATCAACATATAATGTTGACCAATGCCCCATTTTATTACTCGATCCAGCGTCTAGGGCATTTATTACGAACACCACCGGACGACTATGTACCCTTTTAAATTTTTTCCTAACATGATTAGCTAGGAAACTGTTATGACCATACATACACCAGTATGATCATACTGTGGCTGGTGTATGATGCATCAAGCTTTATAGTGATATACTGGCTGATTAGCCTAGTATCACAAATATTATTATATCTATATAATTTCTTATTGACAATATCTTAGTAGAAACTACGTATTGCCTATGCATGTTTAATATACTATGCATATTATATTTCAGTACCAACTGTATGTACCATGTAATTGTGGGTATATTGGAAGTATAGTAAATAGCAGAAGCCTAATGTCTGCCGCTTGGAAAAACCATTATGTGCTTATAGTATGGATTGCTATATAGGACATGCTATGTGTATTATGATGTAGAACGTATACATATATATATATGTTGACGAGCATGTATACTGTAATATATCAAATTCATCACTGTTCACTGCATTGTCCTCTTGTTATGTTAGTAATTTATATTCTGGTACTGGGAGATGTATACCACAGAAGCAAGGTTTTGGTACTTATGTTGGTATATGATGCTTTACTTTATTCATGTATGCCTATGTATAACGGCTGACCGGTAACGTCTTGAAATCCTCCCTTAACTCCCCCCCCCTCCCCCTCCCCTCTAGCCCCCTTGGTACTGTCTCCATTTGCTAATATGAATTCCCTGTTGACTTATTTAGGTCATGATATCATGATATATATATATATATATATATATATATATATATATATATATATATATATATATATATATATATATATATATATCATGATATATAATCTCTTATGTATTGATTTATTGATATGTATTCTCATGTAAAGTTGTATATTATAACACTTGTTTATCTATGAAATGATTTAGAAGTTATTGAGTGATAAATGTCTGGATATGAGCTTGTGATACTTGAAAGAGGAGAGTCGGCTAACTTGCAAATGTAGAAACAGTGTCACTCTCGGCTTGTCCAGGGGCTAGATTCACGAAGTTACGCAAACACTTACGAACCTGAACATCTTTTCTCAATCTTTGGCGGCTTTGTTTACAATTATTAAAAAGTTAATGAGCTCCGAAGCACCAGGAGGCTGTTTATAACAATAACAACAGTTGATTGGCAAGTTTTCATGCTTGTAAACTGTTTAATAAATGTAACCAAAGCCGTCAAAGATTGAGGAAAGATGTACACGTTCGTAAGTACTTGCGTAACTGCTTCGTGAATCTGGCCTCAGCCCCTGAGCGGTCACTGCTCTTTGATCTTCCCAGGGAGGAGGATGTGTGGCGTCCTACTCTTGACCTGCGTGTCAATTTCATAAGATTATTTGTCCTACTACTATATATGTATGCTGTGTACCTTTATTGGATCAGTTTCTTGATGTTGACTTGAAATATGTAGTCCCTATGTATGTCTTAATTCATTGTTTTGATTCAGTTTAGTGTAAACGGATCACGATGAATTAAACAGGATGAAATGCATGAATTAACGGATCAAAAGTTACACAAATATAGTAATTACGAGATTAAGAAGTTAGGGAAACATGTTGAAGATTAAGTAAAGAACGCATTCAAATTTATTTATTTATTTATTTATATACAAGAAGGTACACTGAGGGTTAACAGAGAACATAGAAATTAAGTTGATTTTACATTCTTGTAAAGCCACTAGCACGCATAGCGTTTCGGGCAAAAATCATGTTTTTGTCTATATACCAAGAAAAAACTTAGCATAGATGGAACATATATATATATATATATATATATATATATATATATATATATATATATAATATATATATATATATATATATTCTATTAACAACTAATTGTAATTATACAATGTTTATTACATAGCATATACAGCGATGCAGTTTTTCAAACCACAGCACTATTATAGTTTTATAATATAATGCTGTATTTAATCGAATACAGTGGGCAAGGCACTCTTGCTACCTCTTAAGGAGTATACATATGGCACAAGGAATAATAATATTTGAACTAAAACAAACTGTTACAGTTTTGGTGTATCTTTCGTTGTGTTGCAGGAGTCAAGTCCCGTCAACTGTGCAGAAATACCAACTGTATTTTAATACGTTGGTGAAGAATGTTGACCCCAGGAAGCAATTGCAAGCATGAGAATGATTTGAGTGCTTCAAGGACGACAACAATCCAACAACAAAGTAAATTTATGAGCTTGAAAAGGAAAACTGTGTTAAATGTTTCATAATATAAAGAAATAATGTATTTAAGACAAAAGGAAGCAATATGTGCTCTGTGAGAGTTCTGTGGCGAGTGAACTGATGTGTTTGAGAGCCATAACTAACAGGACTGTTTAAGGAAAATGAAGGAGAGAATGCAACTGTGGACTTGGCAATCAGCAGTTTAAGAGGCAGTGCTCCTCCATCTCTTATGGAGACGAAGCTACAGAAAATTAAGTAAATCACAAAGAAAAGGTACCAAACCTTGAAGCAGTAGAGAGAAAGGTACCAAACCTGGGAGCAGTAGAGAGAAAGGTACCAAACCTGGGAGCAGTAAAGAGAAAGGTACCAAACCTGGGAGCAGTAGAGAGAAAGGTACCAAACCTGGGACCAGTAGAGAGAATGGTACGAAACCTGGGACCAGTAGAGAGAAAGGTACCAAACCTGGAAGCTGTAGAGAGAAAAGTACCAAACCTGGGACCAGTAGAGAGAATGGTACCAAACCTGGAAGCTGTAGAGAGAATGGTACCAAACCTGGAAGCTGTAGAGAGAAAAGTACCAAACCTGGGACCAGTAGAGAGAAAGGTACCAAACCTGGAAGCTGTAGAGAGAAAAGTACCAAACCTGGTAGCAGTAGACAGAAAGGTACCAAACCTGGTAGCAGTAGAGAGAAAAGTACCAAACCTGGTAGCAGTAGACAGAAAGGTACCAAACGTGGAAGTAGTAAATACCAAACTGACAATCCAAGTGACAATAGCACGGAGGTAAACTGCACTTTCATAAATGCAAAACAAGAAATCCTAAAATAAGTAGTTACTAGATTCACAAAAAGAAAGTTGAGAAAGAGAAAGAAATACATAATAACGTGTGAGAGGCTATCTCGGCATAGCAAAGCCTCGCCTTCCCCATTGAGTGTACAAAAGATGCTTAATATCTCGAGTTTTAAAACCATGAAGTCTTTGGAGGCAGGAAGCGCTGGATGTCTGGGGAAACGACTGGAAGAATGCACTGGACAGCATTGGGCCAGTCACAAGACGATTTATCTTGGTTCCACAGTAAGCCGCCTGGACAATCAAACCTGCGGGAGGGGAAAATGTATGTATTATGTACATCCTATGTGAAGTCTAGATGCTTGTGAAGGATGTCACTCTAGATTTCACTCACTTCACACTAACATTTCCAAGTATGAAATCCTCAAATGTCAACCAACACCCGCATGTGGATTTACAATATCAGAGTAAAAGTGAATTTCAATTGTTGAACTCTTGTTAGATTACAACACTTACTTATAGGCATAGTTATTGGTGCATCTGTAGAAGGTGGTGCAGGAGGCGGGGTCAGGAGAGAAGTTGAGAGCTCTGCACTCTGCGAACCACGCGTCCCCTGCCTGCAGTGTGAGCGAGAGTGTAGCAGACACACTAGGGGTTGTTGGCCTCCAGCTGGTGAGCGTCACATTAAACCCAGAGGAGGAGGAGAGTGGATTAAACCCAGACTGGGAAGGTGCGACAAACCCAGACTGGGAAGGTGCAACAAACCCAGACTGGGAAGGTGCAACAAACCCAGACTGGGAAGGTGCAACAAACCCAGACTGGGAAGGTGCAACAAACCCAGACTGGGAAGGTGCGACAAACCCAGACTGGGAAGGTGCAACAAACCCAGACTGGGAAGGCGCAACAAACCCAGACTGGGAAGGTGCAACAAACCCAGACAGGGAAGGTGCGACAAACCCAGACTGGGAAGGTGCAACAAACCCAGACTGGGAAGGTGCAACAAACCCAGACTGGGAAGGTGCAACAAACCCAGACTGGGAAGGTGCAACAAACCCAGACTGGGAAGGTGCGACAAACCCAGACTGGGAAGGTGCAACAAACCCAGACTGGGAAGGTGCAACAAACCCAGACTGGGAAGGTGCAACAAACCCAGACTGGGAAGGTGCAACAAACCCAGACTGGGAAGGTGCAACAAACCCAGACTGGGAAGGTGCAACAAACCCAGAGTGGAAGGATTGAACAGATGACCGAGATGGAACTCGAGCAAACGGAGATGAAGTGGTTGAAGGCAGCCTAGGCCTCAAGGAGTGGCCAGGAGAGACTGGCTTCACCTCGGACCACTTCCTGAAGAAAGGCCTGTTAAAGAAACTTGAATTTAATTGAGATCATAACATTTATAATTAAGTAATCACAAACCTAAAAATTGTATCCCAATAGTTCTGATAATTAATAAATCAAAGATACTAGGTTCAAACTAAAGCAATATATATTTTTTAGATAAAATTATTATCTTTGTAATGTGAAAGTTCTACGTTTTACAGAAAGGTGAAAAACTTGAAATTAAGAATGAAGACGAACACTGAATTATGTTAAAACTTTTATCAGGAACCTTTCAGTAGACGGGACAATGTTCACCGTCTCAAGAATTATGAACACGACATTCAGTAAACCGAAGAAAGGTTTCAAGAAACATACCGCAACAACCATGGATAAGCTGGAGGCTCCGTTATGGTGTTGACATTATTTACAGAATTGTTCACTTCTGTTATAAATGAATTCTTTCTAGGGGTGTCTAAAGTAAAAATATTGTTTGTGTTGTAGTTATCAGCTCGAGAAACACTTATTGAGTCTCTTCTTTCCGCTGGCGTGCCCTCAACAAGAGCAGTGTTGTCTCTTGATGGCGGTCCTTGTGCTGCTCTTGTGAACGGATCTGTGGCTGGTGGTCCAGTGCGTAGAGAGATGGATGCAGTGTTGGACTTTCTTCCACTCAAAGTAGTAGCCAAGGCTGTCAGCAGTGGGTTCTTACCATCACCACAAAAATTCCCGAAGTCATCTGTGGTAACATCCCACACCAAAACACCTGCCAGGCCCTTGGAGACAGCATATTCTGCCTGTACCAAAATGAAGGAGATATATTGAGATTCTGCTGTAAGGGGGATGTTATGACTACACATACAACAGCGTGATTATATTGTGTATGTGTATGATGCAGTCAAACTGTATAGTAAAATATTAATTGATTAGCCTAAGTATTAGAATGTTATGTAGAACATGCCAGAGGTATTATTATATCGTGTATACATTATTATGTAGATTTATATATAAACTTGAGGTATGACTAGTGGATATACTATGATCTAAGGTTTAAACAACGTAGGTATAACGGACGACCGGTAACTGCTGGAAAATCCTTTCATATCCGCCCTGACCCCCTTGGAGAACCGTCTCCAGCCAGTATTATCATGTGTATCAGAAATGACTTCTTTATGTGTTTAGCATATATTGTGATATAATCTTGTATACCTTGAGTTTTGATACGTATTATCCTGTGAAGAAGGTTGTATATTGTATATACTTAGGTATTGTATGAATTAGAATTAATATTTGGGTTTTGAGCTTCTGATATGTGAAGGAGGAAAGTTGGGGTGACTTGCCATGTTGGCAACAGTCGTTCTGGGCCGGCTCGGCCCTTAGCAAGTCACTATCCTCTTGATGTCTCAGATAGGTGGACGTGAGACGTCCAGCTCTTGAGTTCTGTTGTTTATTGATTACTAATTGAATATATAAGAATAATGCTGTTCTTATAGTGGATTAGGCTACCGAGGTATATCAATTACGCCAGGTGGTCGGTGATTTTGTGTTGAGATGCGTATCTGAGGATCGTAGGTGATTGTTATTGTGTTGTAGCATGTTACTTTTTTTTTGCAGGGATATTCCTGCGCGGGCCCTAAGCCTCTGGCTGGCCCACTAAGTGTTGCTTGTTTCTGTTTTACTTGGGCGGAGTATGAGTATTTATTGCTCGTATGGTCGCTTCGGTAAGATTTTGCCATATGTGTTTAACAACTTCTTCTGCTCTGTTGAATCTAAGTTAAAATCTTAATGGATTTGTAACTGTGCACTGTGTTAGATAATGTTCCAGTGGTCTGTCGGGCATTTCTCCACAGTGCTGACATTTCCTCTCATCTTCCGGAACCTGTAAGCCTATTTCTCATGCACATGGGTATCCAAGCCTGATGCGATGTAAGTGCGCTTCTGTTGCTCTACTGCTCCCTTTCATCAAACTAAGTCGTTCGTAGTTGGTTGAATTCTTGTACCAACCCGCAGATCCTGATGTTGCCACTGAGTATGTTACTGATTCCTCACCCACTATTTATTACTGTATGACACCACCAACCTGTTACTTGGGTTAGTGTACCACTGTGCCGGGTTGGAGCCTGGTGTCAGCTAGTCCAGAGTGTGTGCAGGTAATGCCTGTTACTGATTTCTATAGCCGTGTTTAAGTTTCTTGACGTATTTACGAGAGCTGTGTTTAAGCTCCTTGTTGTTATTAGAGTGTCAGTTGTAGAGACTTCAGTTTCTGATTGTTTTACGGTGACTTGTTTTATATGCCCCAATAAACTGGCGTTGTTTTAACTAGCCTTTTTCACTTTACCCTATAAACTTATTGAAACTTGGCTAGGCTATGGTTGGCCAACGATGCTGTGGATCATGAGGTCATGACAGGGGATGGTATATTAGAGTAAGTTATTAAACTATACAATTTATAGATGTCTCCATGATTGTCCTTGACACATTTATAAATGATTGTAGATGTGTTAAGAAGTGTCTAGCGTGCTGTACAATGCCAGCGCAACTCGGGTCCCCATATAGCCACAGTTCCTCTCAATGTTTCATGATGATGCGAAAATTATGAGAACTAAGACAGGAGGATTGCAAGAGGCTACACGATGATATGGACAAACTGAAGTAATAGCCCAACAAATGGCTACTATAGTTCAACTCGACTAAATGTAAAGTAATGAAGCTAGGTAGAGGGAGCGGGAGGCCAGACACAAGGTACCAAACGGGAGAGGAAATCCTCCATGAAACGGACAGAGAAAGATGAAATCACATCGAACCTGTCTCCTGAAGGATATCATCAACGGCGTATGCGAAAATATCAGAACTGCCTTTAGAAATTTGTGTAAGGCATCATTTAGAACCGTGTATACCATATATGTCAGACTAATCCTGGAGTATGCAGCTCCAGTAAGGAGTCCATACCTTGTGAAGTATAAAAAGAAACTGGTGAAGGTTCAAAGGTATGCCACTAGACTAAAGTTCCAGAACTTTACTTACTAAAAGTAAGAGGAATGAGGAAAGGATTCATGAATTGAACCTCACGTCGCTGGACGACAGAAGAGTTAGAGGAGGTATGATTACCACATACAAAATTCTGAGGAGGTAAGTAAATACATTATTTAACACGGGTGGTACACGCACAAGAGGACACAGGTGGAAGCTAAGTACCCAAATAAGTCACAGAGACATTAGAAAGAACTTTTTCAGTGTCAGAGTAGTTAGTAAATGGAATGCATTAGGAAGTGATGTGGTGGAGGCTGACTCCATACACAGTTTCAAGTGTAGATATGATAGAGCCCAGTAGGCTCAGGAATCTGTACACCAGTAGATTGACGGTTGCGAGACGGGACCAAAGAGCCGAAGCTCAACCCCCGTAAGTACTACTAGGCGAGTATAATTAATTGAGTACAAAGGGGACAACAGCTTCAAGCTCAACATGCCTGACTGAACGACCAAAAACGGGATTCCTTTTCACCCACAGACTGCTGTCATGGCTCGTCCTATACAGAGGCAGTGATGGAACTTTGAGAAGTACTAGTAGTTACAACTATTCAACAGTCACACAGTATACATTATTCCAAGAGTACAATGTCTAATGTACTCTATATAATGTTCAACTCGTGTGTTACAATGTTTAACTGGTGTGTTACAATATTCATCTGGTGTGTTACAATGTTCAACTGGTGTGCTACAATATTCATCTGGTGTGTTACAATGTTCAACTGGTGTGTTACAATGTTCAACTCGTGTGTTACAATGTTCAACTGGTGTGTTACAATGTTCATCTGGTGTGTTACAATGTTCAACTGGTGTGTTACAATGTTCATCTGGTGTGTTACAATGTTCAACTGGTGTGCTACAATGTTCAACTGGTGTGTTACAATGTTCAACTGGTGTGTTACAATGTTCATCTGGTGTGTTACAATGTTCAACTGGTGTGTTACAATGTTCAACTGGTGTGTTACAATGTTCATCTGGTGTGTTACAATATTCATCTGGTGTGTTACAATGTTCAACTGGTGTGTTACAATGTTCAACTGGTGTGTTACAATGTTCAACTGGTGTGTTACAATGTTCAACTGGTGTGTTACAATGTTCAACTGGTGTGTTACAATGTTCAACTGGTGTGCTACAATGTTCAACTGGTGTGTTACAATGTTCAACTGGTGTAGTAAGACAAGAAGTGGTTACCTTCCTCTTGACCGCGTCAGCATCATCGTATCCAACCCATTGGTCACCTTTGGTGAGGTAAGGTCCTCCGACACCTTTCACTTTCCTCCAGTCTCCCTGTGGTCACACAATGTTGGTCAGTAACCATTATACTGTTGGTGTTGGCAGTGTACATGAACTAAAAAAATAAAACAGGCAATATACATATATATTGTAAATGTGGCTGGCTGCTTACATAAAAATAGACACTCAATTCAAAGGAAAAAAAAATGCTCTGCGATCATAATAGCTTCATAAAATATATAAATACATGTTATGTAAAATATATAAATACATGTTACGTAACAAAATATACATTCTCTGCTCTGTTGTTCATAAATAAAATAGTATTACTCTGTTATTATTATTATTATAAATAAAATTTTCATTCGACCAGATACCAAATTCACTCATAATGAAACTTGTTCCGGCTGTCAGGTGTATGACAGCATCTGAAAAATATTGACAAGCTGGTACTTTAAGACATTACTGACCTTTCTATGTGCCAGACAGCACTCAAAGAAGGCCATGTTGCCAGGCTCTTTGGTATACCGTCCAGCCTGGCCGGGTCCTGTGGCGGGTGCGCCTATGCTCGTCTCAGGCCCCGCCAGGGTCCACGACCGCCCGTAAAGGGGCACTCCCAATACTAACTGTAATCATCACATTAATACAGTTGAGTCAGCGAGAGGTTGATGAGCTTTAAGCCTAACACCACATGCCGTGTTCTTGGGCTTAAGGCTTATCAACCTCTGGCTGGAGGGTTGTTAAGTCCACACAAGTACTTACTGTCCAACCAGCAAAAAATAGGTTAGCCTAGAACATTTGTAAGGACTTTGGTTTAATGTTGGGCTCAAGGCCTGTCACCCTCTACAGTGTTAAGGCCACCAAAATTGCCCAATGATCAACCAACAGGTATTCAAGGTGTTTAAAACAATTTCATATCATCTGAACGATAATTGGTCAAGTTATTAGATTACGAAATGATATACACTTTTCTTAAACGCCTTGTACTTTAGCCCTGAACATAGTCCAAGACTAAAATGAACTATACACACAGCGAGAAGCAGAGTTAACCTACATTACAGATTAATAGGAAACAGTGAAGCTAAGAGTGACTGAGGAAATAATATAATGTGAAGCACATCAAAGAAAGGATTAACTGATAAGATAATGTAATTATTTTCGATTTTTTATGCAGACTAAAAACTGGCATATTTGCCTACTATTGTCAGGTGCAGTGTGGACTGGTAATATAACGAGTCGACAGTGAGTCTTCCACTTTACGGGCTATTCAAGCCCGTTCCACCTCTTGGTGGCACGGGCTTGAATAGCTCGTGCTTAAACCCGATTAAGCACGGCTTAATAGCCCGTGCTTAAGCCCGATTAAGCTTGGGTGGCTTAATCTTCATCAATCAACCAGTCTTCGACTGAACGACTGGTTGACTCGACTGTCGTTCCTCATAGCCGTATCCTTTCCCAGTGTGGCATTACCTTGTAAGCCGGAGCGCCCTTCTGTATCCAGTAGTTGACGGCGAAGTCAACACACAGCTCTGGGTTGTGTCCCGGCTCAGCGTACAGCGGGGCGTGGTGGCCCACTCGATCCTCCCACGACCCGTGGAAGTCATACGTCATCAGGTTGATCTGAGGCAAAGAGGAGACTCAGAACATTGGAGTAATATACGGGTTCAAGTGATATATATTATTAAGCTTTAAATGACGTGAAGGAAAGGTATATATTGTTAGCGGGGGAAGAATGGATTGATATTTATTCCTCATCTCGCCAGTAATTTATTCCTCATCTTCGCCAGTGGTGAAGCACCATTGCTGTTCAAGGAAAACTTAGCCATAGGCTGGAATTCCTTGTGATTATATTTATATATATTCTTGGGCTGATAGTGCCATATTGTATTACAAGATTTAACCCACTAGGTGAGGTTGGTAGCATAAGTGGCAAGCCAGGAGTTGGGCTAACACTTGATATATGCAGCTGATAGTCCTGATGGGATTGGATGAACCTAACTATAATAGCATAGAGTGTTAAGTTATATTATTGTATCTTGTATTTATGTTGTACATGTTCACTAAGTAAATGTATATAGTTTGCCAGTGTTTGCCCTTGTCCTAGTGAGGCTTCCCAGAAAGTAGAAGAGAGAGAGAGAGAATCACAGCTATGGACAGGGCGGTATAGAATTATAATTCAAAGAAAGGGGGATTGAGGCTATATCAACCAAGGAAGAGAGTGGGGAGTCACAGCGGCTTGAAATGGGAGTGTACACGTGATAACGAGGCCAGTGTTGGAGCCGCACCCCCTAAACGTGTGACACTGAACCCCTCTCCAAGAGCAGGAAGCGTGCAGAGTGATCTTCTGATCAAAATACAAGCACTCTACGGGTTTTGGTTGGTTGTACGGAATGGACGTACGCACCCTACCTACATCAACATAATAGTGTCCACTCACAGGATGAGTGACGCTGCCCAATACTGTCACTATGGCGGTGTGTTCACTCACAGGATGAGTGACGCTGCCCAATACTGTCACTATGGCGGTGTGTTCACTCACAGGATGAGTGACGCTGCCCAATGCTGTCACTATGGCGGTGTGTTCACTCACAGGATGAATAACACTGCCCAATAAACTCGCCCCTCGGGGCAAAATTTAAAAAATTACTAATAAGGTGTGAACAGATTACAGTGGAAATATAAGATGTTTGGTAGTGTCATCCTTGTTAAAGAAGGGTGAACTGTAGTTCTTGTGTGGACACTGACTGGTGAGTAGTAAACTATGATCAAGACTACACACTGCAAGAAGCAAGGGTGAATAATCTTATAAAATAAACAATGATCGGTTTGGGTGTAATGTGAATGTGATCTGAGATCAATCTCTCCTCAGGGAGGAAATATGCTCATGGGAATGGACTGAGAACGACTACATAATTAGTGCTATTATCCACACTCTCTCTATCTATATTGACGATAATGTGAAACAGGGAATTCAAAAATTATTTCAGTGTGCCCTAGAATTCCGTTTACAGAAAAACCAAATTCTTAACAGAAAAGTTTTCAGTATTCATTTACTCTTTGTATTTTAAACCAACTATTTATAATACAATCAAGCTATACCTTGATAATAATGTTTGTTTAGGACGAAGCTTCACTTTCAAGTTTACATGAAGACTATTATTGGAGTTGTAATATGCTTTCAGACCATCACAAACATTTAGATAACTATCCGGGTGGTTTGTGGGGGGGGGGGTCTCACGGTAATGGATTTGGTCTGAGGACTGGCTCCTGAGATGACGAGCCTACCGTGGGAAACAATACAGAAACCATTGAATAACTGAGAAAGTACAGCTGAAGGTAAAATTCCTAGAAAATTCCTAGAAAAATGGAAACTACCCCAGATAACAATTATGCAGACATCACCCCTGTCTCCAAGACAGGCAAAAGTAATTTTAGTATAAAACTACATTCTACTCATCCTTGAGGTTATCTTGAGATAATTTCAGGGCTTTTTAGTGTCTCCGCAGCCCGGTCCTCGACCAGGCCCCCACCCCCAGGAAGCTGCCCGTGACAGCTGACTAACACCCAGGTACCTATTTTACTGCTAGGTAACAGGGGCATAGGGTGAAAGAAACTCTGCCCATTGTTTCTCGCCGGCGCCTGGGATCGAACCCAGGACCACAGGATCACAAGACCAGCGTGCTGTCCGCTCGGCCGATCGGCTCCCCCTTACTTGACACTTACAAGCTCGCGTAGAGAATACTGAAGGGGAAATCATTCATCATTTCACAGTGCACAATCTAATGTCTATAAAAAAGAATGTTTATCTGAGGATGGATGCCAGATACTTGTGGTGAGTCTATCACAACTTTCCACTGTGATTTGTGATTGCATGTGGTGTGTGTTAAAGGGAAGGTTGAGGTCAACTGCTATGCCCCTCCAGAAGTAGGATGGGCTCCTATTGTGACAACCAATGATGCCTATGAAGTCTGAAACGTGGGTTTGTCATGGTTATGTTGTTTTTTGGGAGTGTATTGTATGTTGTGGGTTCTGAGAGAGAGAGAGAGAGAGAGAGAGAGAGAGAGAGAGAGAGAGAGAGAGAGAGAGAGAGAGAGAGAGAGAGAGAGAGAGAGAGAGAGAGAGAGAGAGAGAGAGGAGACAGACAGACAGACAGACAGACAGACAGACAGACAGACAGACAGACAGACAGACAGGCAGACAGACAGACAGACAGACAGACAGACAGACAGACAGACAGACAGACTTTATATTCAGAATAATTAAGAATTTGAAGAGATTAGGAGAAGATATAGGGAGGCCTTCTTGATGTCGGAAAATCCGACACCATTTAATATATCATACAGATAATAGCTGTATTACCAACAAGTAACCCATAGAAAACGTAACTTGTAGTGGAATTACCGTCTATAGAAAACGGGATATCATCACCACATACCATTATAAATTCACCAGCTATTCTGCTGGGAATTATTCTTAAATACATTAGTCTTTGGACTTTACCATCATAAAACATCTTATATAAATTAACTTAATTATCAATATTAAAGTAGAGTAAATGTGACCCTTCTATCACTTTCTGAAATGTGGACAATGTAAGCCAGGCGTCAGAGTGAGGAGGAGGGCAGCCATTGTTTATACGAGACCAGAGGCTCACACGGGAGCAAATTCGGCTCCTGTTAATTTTACTTGGACGTAGTGTTATGGATACCAAAGGTGTACCATCTGTCAACACGCTGTCAACAAATCAAGTTAAGTGTTCTTTCCGAAACCCATTATTTATCATTAGTGGCCATTAATGTCATTATATAGGGTGACCCGGTTAGATCACATGGAAGCCTCAAACTAAAGGTAATTAAGCCAGGTCTTCATGTTCCATGTACTGTTTTCTCTGATATACTTGTCATATATAGGTATCTGGCTTCACAGCTAGCGCACTTTTGACAGGTCAAGACGAGGATGCAAGATTTTGTGCACCAGTTACTGGGTGATATGGAAGCTACCTCAAAGAGGATAATTTGGTGTCTACACCCTAGTTATACCTGGTGGACTAACCTGCTGTACTATAAGATAAGGAACCTCATCAATGTATGTAGCTATTACTGTAGTTTGATTGGCTGCATATATATAAACTATTAAACCCCCCCTAATGTGTAGAGGATCGATTTGTGAGATTATGAGATTATTGCAGAAATACAGTCCACTTAACATTATACAAATTGCTATCGAAGTATATAAATTAACGTAAATATAAATTCATATAAATTAAATAAATATAAATCTCACAGGTCGGTTCCCACATTATTTGGTCCTTCGAAACCGAATTATTTGGACCTTCGGAACCGGAATATTCGGTCCTTTGAACCCACATTTGGTCATCTTAGTACCGGATGAACCAGTTAACCAGTGGATTCATTAAATAAACTAGTGCAGTGTTATTTAAACAAACCCAGCAGTCAAGACGGCAGCGTAGCCTCGAGGGAGCTCAGGAGCCTCCCTCAGCCCAGTTCAGCTTCGTCAGCGGTTTCATGCACACCCACAGATATTTGGTGGCGTGTTATTTCGTGAAATGACAGCGCTAATATTGAAGCCAGCCTAATTAGTGACTGTGTGTCGCGTGATTGTTCACGGATTTCGTGGTGTTACATTTCGCGAGAGATTATCTACGAATTTTGTGGACTTTATTTCGCGAGGTCACTAATAATATTTAATACTTCTAGATAATATTAGAAGTTTCATAGAGGCTAATTAAGAGGCTATTATCAATAATTGTGTATATTATTTCTCCAAAATAGAGAATTATTTAATATATATTGCACTAGTGATCACAGTATAATATTTACTAATTGCCAACCCACAACAGGGTAGGATATTAACCATTGACTAGTTGAACTATTATCGTTCATCCTAGTCCCATTATTACCATAGTCAGTTGTACTATATTGAACAACCTAACACCATTAATGAATGGTCCAGACCCTATTTTGGGTGTAATTTTTATCAACTCGAGTTGAGTTGTGTATATATAATAATTTACTTATGATCATTACACCTTTGAGTGATTAATTAGTGTCTCTACCATCCTAGGGTGATATAGAAGAGCTAACCTAAAGGTACTTCCATGACACTGGTTTATCACTCAAATCATTAGTGTGTATGATTGTATATATATAATGTGTATTAATTTTAAGTGCTAACCTCTAGTAGAGGTAGGATTATTGCCTAGTGAGTTCAGAATTTACCCTAGGCTACCATTAGTGTTTGTTCAGTATTATGAGCAGCCCAAATACAAGTCCCACAAGGCTTCACCAACGAGCCAGTATGGATAATGCAGGGAGAATGAAAAGAACCCTTGCAGGTCTTAAAGGCCACTTAACAAGACAGATCAAGAAATGTGAAGATTTGTCACAACAATCAACAGTTGATTATGCTGACCTGGAAAGCTATTATCAAGCAGCTGCAGGTAAATTTGAGCAAATCAAATGTCAAATAGCAACATATGTGGCTGAACTTGCCAACACCAATTTATCAGAAACAGAAATAGACGACATTATGGTTGATCTTGCGAATTATGAAGATCACACTCAGGCCACGTTACAGCCTTATGTCAAATTAATTGCCCAGAACAAGGCAACAACAACAACAACAACAGTTGCATCTAATACGAGTCAAGCAGAAGCTCGACTCCCTCCAATTAATTTACCCACTTTCTCAGGAAAAGATGAGGAAGATTGGGATGAATTTTGGAACAAATTCGTTGACCTTGTAGACTCAAAACAATCTTTACCAAAGAGTAGTAAATTCTCTTATTTGCAAGGCCAATTATCAGGTGAGGCTAAAACAGTAGTATCCCATCTGAGATTAACTAATGACGGCTATGATCTGGCAGTAAAACTCCTCAAGGATAATTATGCTGATCCAGAAGTAAGAACATCACATTTAGTTCATGAGCTGTTGCATTTACCCCCACCGGAGGCTTCAGCTGATTCACTCCAAGTCTTCAAGCTGGAGGTAGAATCATTGATCAATGCCCTCAGCCTGACAGCAGATACAAACGGGGCTGAGTGGGTCTTGAAAATAATTGTCCAGGAGAAAATACCTAGGGACATATTGAGACAAATAAGTGCTCATTACAATAAAAGCATCTTATCCATGAATGAAATATCTGAAGGTTTAAAGTCAGTAGTTCATCAATTACGAACACATGACAAATTAAAACCACCAAGTAAACCCTCAGAAACCAATAATAGTAAACCACAGAGTACCAAAGGTACTCCAAATCAATCTAGACAATATAATTCAACACCAAAGTGGAACAGTGGCAGTGTGGGCGTATATGCAGTGGGACCCTCCAAGCCTATAGTTACTGTGTCACCCAAGAACGTGACACCAAAGGGTACTGGAAACTATGGAACATGTTTGTTCTGCAATGAGAAACATTCAATGTACCACTGCCCTAATTTTCCTGATAGTGACGCCCGTGTTGAGCGACTCAAAGATTTGCAACATTGCACGAGGTGCCTCAGGAAACATAACATCAACGACTGTGAGACCCAATTACACACCTGTAATAGGTGTAACAAAGGTCAGCACCATGCATCATTGTGCAGAGACACCAAAACTACGTCTCCAAACCCCAAGGTGGAAGATAGCATTCCCACCACAGTACAGTACTGCAAGGTGCAACAAACAAAGAGTGTCCAATCAGCAAAGTCTAAAGGTAATACGACTTTGCCTACTGCCCAAATTACCATCCTGAATAAGAGGGCCAAGGTCCATACCCGTGGGTTGTTTGACCAAGGATCCCAGAGAACATATATCACCAAAAAGTTGGCAGAAGAACTACAATTAAGGCCTGTAGCCCAGATGTCATTCAATATCTCAGGGTTTATAACAGATGCAGGACCTCAAGTCTACCAGGTGGTACAACCATCAGTACGCTTAGGCAGGTACGTCTGTCGAGTACAAGCCATTGTGGTGGACAAAATACCAGTAGACCTACAAGTTCAAGGTCTGCGAGCAACAGCCAAATTCCTGAGAAATAGAGGAATAAAATTGGCAGATAATATTAAGTCTGATCACCTCAACGACTTTGGTCTCCTTGTAGGGACAGACTATTGTCATCGATTCATTGGTAGCCCTACTAAATATCAGGGTATAACCATGTTAAACTCTGCAGGAGGTAAATTACTCTCAGGCCCAGTATCAAGCCTGAGGAGACCTATGCCTGCAGATAAACAATACCAGTAGAAACTAAATTTGTCAGCTGATTATGTTTCTCCAGTAGCATTATACTAAGGAGATTACAGCTGACTATACCAACAGAGGTTGATGTTAGTATCATCATTTAAAGCTGAAGATGAGTTCATGAGGCCTCAGTGGCAAATCAGTGAACAGTAGCCTAAAACAGCTACAAGTCACTGCGACCAATGTCACTGAACCCACTGCAGTCTCAGAACCATACTTTACTTTAATGATGAGCTATTCAATCTTCTGAATCAATTAACTAAATTAAACCCCAATAATTCTGATGACTGATTTGATACATTTATTATTTAATCAAGATGTATTCCATGGGCCTCAGTGTTTATATATCAGTGACCAGTTACCTGAAGAAACTTCAAGTTATATCTAATGTCACTGATCTCACTGCAGTCCCTGAATCATACTTGACTGTAGTACTTGATCACATCCAGTCTTCTGGGTTAAATAATATGTAATAAGGCTTGAATATTAGCCTTTCAAGAGTTGACAGGGAAATGAAATTGCATTAGACTTCTAACCCCTGCAACTCTAGTACGGGACATCCATCCTGTACGAACAGACGCACAAATGTGTGATTACTAACTACTAACATCAAATTAATCTAATAATTCGAAGGAGGAGTATCGGTGTTCGTCTGTTCTAAATAGGACTTCGACCCGTGAGCAGCCCCCTGGGGAATTATGTCGGAAAATCCGACACCATTTAATATATCATACAGATAATAGCTGTATTACCAACAAGTAACCCATAGAAAACGTAACTTGTAGTGGAATTACCGTCTATAGAAAACGGGATATCATCACCACATACCATTATAAATTCACCAGCTATTCTGCTGGGAATTATTCTTAAATACATTAGTCTTTGGACTTTACCATCATAAAACATCTTATATAAATTAACTTAATTATCAATATTAAAGTAGAGTAAATGTGACCCTTCTATCACTTTCTGAAATGTGGACAATGTAAGCCAGGCGTCAGAGTGAGGAGGAGGGCAGCCATTGTTTATACGAGACCAGAGGCTCACACGGGAGCAAATTCGGCTCCTGTTAATTTTACTTGGACGTAGTGTTATGGATACCAAAGGTGTACCATCTGTCAACACGCTGTCAACAAATCAAGTTAAGTGTTCTTTCCGAAACCCATTATTTATCATTAGTGGCCATTAATGTCATTATATAGGGTGACCCGGTTAGATCACATGGAAGCCTCAAACTAAAGGTAATTAAGCCAGGTCTTCATGTTCCATGTACTGTTTTCTCTGATATACTTGTCATATATAGGTATCTGGCTTCACAGCTAGCGCACTTTTGACAGGTCAAGACGAGGATGCAAGATTTTGTGCACCAGTTACTGGGTGATATGGAAGCTACCTCAAAGAGGATAATTTGGTGTCTACACCCTAGTTATACCTGGTGGACTAACCTGCTGTACTATAAGATAAGGAACCTCATCAATGTATGTAGCTATTACTGTAGTTTGATTGGCTGCATATATATAAACTAATAAACCCCCCCTAATGTGTAGAGGATCGATTTGTGAGATTATTGCAGAAATACAGTCCACTTAACATTATACAAATTGCTATCGAAGTATATAAATTAACGTAAATATAAATTCATATAAATTAAATAAATATAAATCTCACAGGTCGGTTCCCACACTTGATAAATAGGTATGAAGGAACAATTAATAAAGCAATTTAATATAGATTTTGAACACATTTATAATAAAGGCCCAGTAACACAAAAATACAATTCACTGTCACATTTTGGTGCTGCTGATGTCACGATGAATATATGACGTTATAAAACTCATCAACTCAACTCATTGAACAGTAGCCTAATTTTAAGTTCAATAACCCAAATCATTGAAATTAAGAAAATATAAATTAAAAATACGACATTATTTAAGCCTTATAAATCCGATATGAAACATATTACAGACACACTAATTATATGTATAGTTTAAAGGGTTGATTATTATTACAAAAATAATAGTTTTAATTTAAAGATGGATTTAAAGATGAATACTGATTTAAAAATTAGGCTCTGGACAACAATAATATGATCACAAAATAAGACTACAGAATCTATGAATGTTACAGAGCTGCATAAGGATGATCTTACCAAGTCAAGGAGTTGAGCCACTTTTGGGACATCGTAGCCCGTGTCGATAGTGCTTCGCCCAGCACTCACTGCTGACGTCAGTAACAGACCATGAGGTCTCAAGGCTGACTTGAGGTCCACTAGCCATGCTGTGAAGCCTGAGCACAGAATAGAAGGCACTAGTTAAGATATTTACCTAACAAAGACTGTCTCTGGTGGCCTCCGCTAGCCTGATCTTTTCCACAACCAATGCCCAGACCCTATTCTGCCTATTCATTGGGTTCAAAGGTGTCCAAGGTGAGGACGAAATAGCAGTAACGAATTTAAAGATGTAGTACATCGATGCTGATGAACTGTTAAATAAAGTAGTTGAAAAATAAATATTTGAATACACTAACCCTGATGTAATATCAATTGTGGAGACTAAATTAGTTGTAACTATTACCACTGCAATATTCCCCGGGGAACATTAGAGAATTCAAAGGAAAAGGATTACAACGGGAGAAGAATTGTGTGAGTGTGGGATTGGGAGAATGAACTTTTGTAAGGGAGAGAGGGAGAAGGTGGTAAGGCTGAGAGAAAACCTGGGAGGAAGAGGTATGGGTTGTTGATGGGTGAAGGTGGAAGGATGGGGGTATTAGTGCAGCTCGGGTTGGTGGCTGTTTGATGGGTGGTTGATGTGGAGTGTGGGTAAGTTATGGAGGCTTGACGTTCTGTGCTCCCTGTTCGCAAGTGCGTTCGTCAGAACACAGGTGTCGACAGCTAGTCAAGACCAGATGGAAGACAGTTCTCTGTCACGTATTGTGTTCTGGTGTGTTTACTGGAGTTCACCTCACAACTGTGTCTGAGTACAAGTGATTGGATGAACAGCCCGTTTTCTTCCAATTGGGGAGTGTTGTACATGCTGCTATGGCGGTGTGTCCACTCACAGGATGAGTGACGCTGCCCAATACTGTCACTATGGCGGTGTGTCCACTCACAGGATGAGTGGCGCTGCCCAATACTGTCACTATGGCGGTGTGTCCACTCACAGGATGAGTGACGCTGCCCAATACTGTCACTATGGCGGTGTGTCCACTCGCAGGATGAGTGGTGCTGCCCAATACTGTCACTATGGCGGTGTGTCCACTCACAGGATGAGTGACGCTGCCCAATACTGTCACTATGGCGGTGTGTCCACTCACAGGATGAGTGACGCTGCCCAATACTGTCACTATGGCGGTGTGTCCACTCACAGGATGAGTGGTGCTGCCCAATACTGTCACTATGGCGGTGTGTCCACTCACAGGATGAGTGACGCTGCCCAATACTGTCACTATGGCGGTGTGTCCACTCACAGGATGAGTGACGCTGCCCAATACTGTCACTATGGCGGTGTGTCCACTCACAGGTGTGTCCACTCACAGGATGAGTGACGCTGCCCAATAACTATGGCACTCACAGCGCTGCCCAATACTGTCACTATGGCGGTGTGTCCACTCACAGGATGAGTGACGCTGCCCAATAAACACGCTCCCTCGGGGCAAAATTAAATTAAATTATGGTTGCACATAGCACCAACAGCAATACTCGAAAAAGCAAGACGAGCACCGTAAATATTAACATTTATACCCTAGTCTGCTAAACCGACAATATAATATTTAAAAACAGATTTAAATTAAAATATAAGTTTGCTTTATGTTTTGCTCATACTGATATTTAAAAGAAAAATGATATTGTCTGGTAATAGATAAAAGTTAGTGTCATGTTACCTGCTTTATCAGAACGGTCGCCGTCGTAGCCTGGGTACTCCCAGTCCAGGTCAAGGCCGTCAAAGCCGTGCTGGAGGAGTAGTTTGACCACTTCCTCCACGAACCTCCGGCGGCGGCCTGCGTCAACAACCAGCTTGGAGTACTTGCTGGACCGGGAGTCGTTCCACCCTCCAAGGCCAAGCAACACCTGAGAACATTAAGAGGTGATCCACCCTCCAAGGCCAAGCAACACCTGAGAACATTAAGAGGTGATCCACCCTCCAAGGCCAAGCAACACCTGAGAACATTAAGGGGTGATCCACCCTCCAAGGCCAAGCAACACCTGAGAACATTAAGAGGTGATCCACCCTCCAGGGCCAAGCAACACCTGAGAACATTAAGGGGTGATCCACCCTCCAGGGCCAAGCAACACCTGAGAACATTAAGAGGTGATCCACCCTCCAAGGCCAAGCAACACCTGGGAACATTAAGAGGTGATCCACCCTCCAGGGCCAAGCAACACCTGAGAACATTAAGGGGTGATCCACCCTCCAGGGCCAAGCAACACCTGAGAACATTAAGAGGTGATCCACCCTCCAAGGCCAAGCAACACCTGAGAACATTAAGAGGTGATCCATCCTCCAGGGCCAAGCAACACCTGAGAACATTAAGGGGTGATCCATCCTCCAGGGCCAAGCAACACCTGAGAACATTAAGAGGTGATCCATCCTCCAGGGCCAAGCAACACCTGAGAACATTAAGGGGTGATCCATCCTCCAGGGCCAAGCAACACCTGAGAACATTAAGAGGTGATCCATCCTCCAGGGCCAAGCAACACCTGAGAACATTAAGAGGTGATCCACCCTCCAAGGCCAAGCAATACAGGAACACAACACAGGATAAGTACTACACTGCCACTCAAAGGAGACCTCCCCCCCCCCTCTCCATCATGTTTCGTGAGTATAAGCAATAATCTTTCGAGCTGTAAAATAATTTTAAATTTACTTCAACACGTTAAATTGTTCAGTTGTTGTTCTTGAGACCAAGAAACTCCCGGCTGTACTCATCGGGGATCACCACCATGATGGGGAATATGTCGCATGTGTTTTGGTTTCCCATTTGTATTTCTCATTGGGCAACATCTGCCTTTGCCAAGGATGCAATCCACAACAATTGCCTAACTCGCAGGTACCTATTTATTTCTAGGTGAAAAGAGGCATCAGGTATAAGAAAACATGCCTAAACATTTAGTATTGGCTGGGGACCGAACCCGGACAAGTTGTGAATCATCTGACCTGATCAATGCTTACAAGTCACACAGAACTTTAATTTTGATACGAAATTGACAGTTAACATGAAACTCACTAATGACTACTACAGTACTTTCCTAAGGATGTGGCGACAGCAGATCTCCTTAACCGGTGTTGTGCTCGCTCGTCCCACTTCCCATTAACTTTTTTTGACCCGGTTGCCATTGGTGCTGGATGTCCACGCCGGAGTGGGTTTGAATTGTGCACTCGGGGGTATATTAATTATACTGTAGCCTAGCGTACAAAATTTCGTTTTTATGTCACGAGTCCATAGTTATTAGCAAGGTCAAGTTATTACGAACATTTAGAAATTAACCTAAGTAGATATAACCTGGATGATTCGTGTCTAATTTTAACCGTGCATAACAAGTCAGAGGTAGTTCGGCTATTTCTACCCTAGCCTAGCCCAAGCCAAGGACTTAGTAGTCCATCTGCGGTTTTCATCTAGCCTTGAGGTTATTATCTGACAAACTGACCTGGAGGATACATTGCCTGAGGAAGAATCTGAAGAAATTCAGACTTTTTTTTAGGCTGAATCTCTTTTAGCGATTATCTTTAGAGATTCATTTCAGTACCAAGCCAAATGAGAGAAGAAGAGGTAAGGGGAAGGCATTACCTGAGAGCAATAGTCAACTTCACCACAGAAGCAAACAATAAGAACTTACCTTTAGGTTGGGATTCTCTCTTTTGAGCTGGACGAACTTGCGGTAGTTGTGGAGGTCGTTATCGAGCCAGGGGTCGTGTTGCTTGGCCAGGAAGGTCTTGGGGTCGAGGATGGCGAAGGCGTAGACGAGGTGTGTGCAGAGCTCCACCGGGATGTTCCCTACCGTGTACTTGGCCACATCTGACAAACACCCACACACACATTACTTAAACTCCAGCATTATGGAATCCGAGGCCTTGCCCTTGACTACATCCGATCCTATCTTAGTGACAGACACCAATGTGTAACCATCAATGATACAACAATGACTTGATCATCTCATATTTAATATTCTCCAAATTCCTCTGTCAGTGTGCCTGGGAACGCATAAGTTCAAACCTTCATCACGGCTCCTACGGATATGCTAATTCTCCAAATTATTTTTTCAGGCTACGGCCATTCCTGAAGACTTGTTAAGAAATATTTAATTCATTTTAACGTATTGTGTATTAAAATAGGGTTGTTTTCGTATACACGTTAATATTATTATACATTAAAGTTCTATGTATAGCTTAGGTTCAGTTGGTTCAAGTAAGTTTATTGAGAAAAGGAAGTACATCTCAGAAGGATAGAGTAGCTTAGGCTATTTCAACCCTCGAGGTTAGGTTAGGTGTTTAAGTTCTGTTGGCGATTATTTGTATCACGTTACTCCAGCTATAATGATGCCCCAGATATAGTGTTCAACAAACTATAATGATGCACCAGCTGTAATGATGCACCAGCTATAATGATCCAACAGCTATAATGATGCACCAAGTACAACGTCAACTTTCATCTGTCCTCGGCAAATCTCATACCCTTCACTTAGTCCAGCAACCTTTCCCGCTTGACCTTTGAGTGGTGGTCGTGGTACAGTCTTCCCAGGCAGCTGCCCCTGCTGACCTCTGGCTGCTGCTGCAACACGCACCACTCTTGGACAATAGTGACGGCGCTCCTCAGGGTCACAGATCAATGAGTCTGGTGGAGGCGTTGGATAAGGCGCTTATCATGGTAAAAGGTGTGAGAGAATCCCATGTTTAGGCAAGATTAAACATGTATTGATGTATGATAATCAGTATGTATGTATGTATGCGTAATTGTTTAATGATAGAAGGTAATTGGGATATAGAGGGTAGTTTGCTGTGTGCATGTTGACTGACTTCTCGCGAGGCTTTAAGTGTTGTCCAATTAAATTTAAAAGCAAATTTATCTAATTATGCCCTAAACGCCTTGCGTATAAGAGGTTTTATATTATTTACATTATGTATCCATGAATACGCCCCTGTATCATATGAAAATAACATTATTATTAAAGATGAGGCGAGGGATTGACTGGGCACCACTTGAATTTCACAAGGATATATTTAGCAACTGATGAAAGAATATTAAGCTGTTAGTGTTCAGTAGCGTTTGGTGGGTGCAGAGTCTATGTATATTGTTAAACGTTGCTCCTGGTGTGTGTGTGTGTGTGTAATTACCTAAGTGTAGTTACACGCTAAGAGCTACCCTTGTGGTGTCCCGTCTTCCCAGTACTCTTTGTCGTATAACAATTTGAAATTACTGACGGTTCTCGCCTCCGCAACCTTCTCATTCAGTTTGTTCCAACCGTCTACCACTCTGTTTGCGAAAGTGAATTTTCTTATATTTCTACGCCATCTTTGTGTGTATGTACTCACCTAGTTGTGCTTGCGGGGGGTTGAGCTCTGGCTCTTTGGTCCCGCTTCTCAACCGTCAATCAACTGATGTACAGATTCCTGAGCCTATTGGGCTTATCATATCTTCACTTGAAACTGTGTATGGAGTCAGCCTCCACCACATCACTTCCTAGTGTATTCCATTTGTCTACTACTCTGACACTGAAAACTATCTTTCTAGTGTTTCTATGGGTCATTTGGGGACTCAATTTCCACCTGTGTCCACATGTATTAAATAGCCTGTCTTTATCTACCCTATCAATTTCTCTGAGAATCTTGTGTGTGGTGATCATGTCCCCAGTAACTCTTCTGTCTTCCAGTGACGTGTGGTTTAATTCCCGTAGTCTCCTCTCCTTGACCCCGAGGGTGACCCCTGACCCCTGAGTGTGACTCCTGACCTTGAGTGTGACCCCGAGTGTGACTCCTGACCTTGAGAGTGACCCCTTACCCCGAGTGTGATTACTGACCTTGAGTGTGACCCCGAGTGTGACCCCTGACCCCCGAGTGTGACTCCTGACCCCTGAGTGTGACCCCTGACCCCCGAGAGTGACCCCTGACTCTTGAGTGTGACTCCTGACCTTGAGTGTGACCCCGAGTGTGACTCCTGACCCTGAGTGTGACCCCTGACCCTGAGTGTGACCCCTGACCCCTGAGTGTGACCCCTGACCCCCGAGTGTGACCCCTGACCCCCGAGTGTGACTCCTGACCCCAGAGTGTGGCCCCTGACCCCTGAGTGTGACCCCTGACCCCAGAGTGTGACCCCTGACCCCCGAGTGTGACCCCTGACCCCTGAGTGTGACCCCTGACCCCCGAGTGTGACCCCGGACCCCGAGTGTGACCCCTGACCCCCGAGTGTGACCCCTGACCCCGAGTGTCACCCCTGACCCCGAATGTGACCCCTGACCCTGAGTGTAACCCCTGACCCCGAGTGTGACCCCTGACCCCCGAGTGTGACCCCTGACCCCGAGTGTGACCCCTGACCCCCGAGTGTGACCCCTGACCTCGAGTGTGACCCCTGACCCCCGAGTGTGACCCCTGACCTCGAGTGTGACCCCTGACCCCGAATGTGACCCCTGACCCCAAATGTGACCCCTGACCCCTGAGTGTGACCCCTGACCCCTGAGTGTGACCCCTGACCCCGAGTGTGACCCCTATACACTGACCTTGGCGGTAATGTGCCCAGGAGGCGTAGTAGCAGAGGAGGACCCTGGGGTCAGTCTTGCCAGCCTGGACCCCACTGGCTGACCCCAACACCACCGTCACTATCACCACCACAACACACCCCAACACCACCTGAAAGTGTTCATGACATACTCGTTAGACATGCAGATCACCTTCATTGAACATGTTCAGAACATGACATAACTCATTCAGAACAGAATAAAGTGAATTCTGTTTATAAACTGTTTATATTCTGTTTATAAAGACAAGAGGTGAAAGTGAACTTAATTTGTTGATAATGTCTCCTGCTGAGTGGTTAGGCTCACGACCTAATAGTCCCAGGTTCGATTCCCGGTCAGGGAGAAACGTTTTGGGCACGTTTCCCTACATCCGGTGCCTTTGTTCACCTAGCAGTAAATAGGTACCTGTGAGTAAGCAGACTGTTGTGGCCTGCTTTTCACTACAAATATATAATAGTTACATGAATTACTTCATGACTAAAACCAAAACAAAGGCATAAAACCTATATATATCTATTTATATATATTTCTATTTATATATATTTCCAGGAGCTGGGATATGAGGACCAGGAGCTGGGATATGAGGACCAGGAGCTGGGATATGAGGACCAGGAGCTGGGATATGAGGACCAGGAGCTGGGATATGAGGACCAGGAGCTGGGGTATGAGGATATGAGGACCAGGAGCTGGGATATGAGGACCAGGAGCTGGGATATGAGGACCAGGAGCTGGGATATGAGGACCAGGAGCTGGGATATGAGGACCAGGAGCTGGGATATGAGGACCAGGAGCTGGGATATGAGGACAGGAGCTGGGATATGAGGACCAGGAGCTGGGATATGAGGACCAGGAGCTGGGATATGAGGACCAGGAGCTGGGATATGAGGACCAGGAGCTGGGATATGAGGACCAGGAGCTGGGATATGAGGACCAGGAGCTGGGATATGAGGACCAGGAGCTGGGATATGAGGACCAGGAGCTGGGATATGAGGACCAGGAGCTGGGATATGAGGACCAGGAGCTGGGATATGAGGACCAGGAGCTGGGATATGAGGACCAGGAGCTGGGATATGAGGACCAGGAGCTGGGATATGAGGACCAGGAGCTGGGATATGAGGACCAGGAGCTGGGATATGAGGACCAGGAGCTGGGATATGAGGACCAGGAGCTGGGATATGAGGACCAGGAGCTGGGATATGAGGACCAGGAGCTGGGATATGAGGACCAGGAGCTGGGATATGAGGACCAGGAGCTGGGATATGAGGACCAGGAGCTGGGATATGAGGACCAGGAGCTGGGATATGAGGACCAGGAGCTGGGATATGAGGACCAGGAGCTGGGATATGAGGACCAGGAGCTGGGATATGAGGACCAGGAGCTGGGATATGAGGACCAGGAGCTGGGATATGAGGACCAGGAGCTGGGATATGAGGACCAGGAGCTGGGATATGAGGACCAGGAGCTGGGATATGAGGACCAGGAGCTGGGATATGAGGACCAGGAGCTGGGATATGAGGACCAGGAGCTGGGATATGAGGACCAGGAGCTGGGATATGAGGACCAGGAGCTGGGATATGAGGACCAGGAGCTGGGATATGAGGACTGGGAGAGGAGCTGGGATATGAGGACCAGGAGCTGGGATATGAGGACCAGGAGCTGGGATATGAGGACCAGGAGCTGGGATATGAGGACCAGGAGCTGGGATATGAGGACAAGGAGCTATGAGGACCAGGAGCTGGGATATGAGGACAAGGAGCTGGGATATGAGGACAAGGAGCTGGGATATGAGGAGCTGGGGTATGAGGAGCTGGGATATGAGGACCAGGAGCTGGGATATGAGGACCAGGAGCTGGGATATGAGGACCAGGAGCTGGGATATGAGGACCAGGAGCTGGGATATGAGGACCAGGAGCTGGGATATGAGGACCAGGAGCTGGGATATGAGGACCAGGAGCTGGGATATGAGGACCAGGAGCTGGGATATGAGGACCAGGAGCTGGGATATGAGGACCAGGAGCTGGGATATGAGGACCAGGAGCTGGGGGATATGAGGACCAGGAGCTGGGATATGAGGACCAGGAGCTGGGATATGAGGACCAGGAGCTGGGATATGAGGACCAGGAGCTGGGATATGAGGACCAGGAGCTGGGATATGAGGACCAGGAGCTGGGATATGAGGACCAGGAGCTGGGATATGAGGACCAGGAGCTGGGATATGAGGACCAGGAGCTGGGATATGAGGACCAGGAGCTGGGATATGAGGACCAGGAGCTGGGATATGAGGACCAGGAGCTGGGATATGAGGACAAGGAGCTGGGATATGAGGACCAGGAGCTGGGATATGAGGACCAGGAGCTGGGATATGAGGACCAGGAGCTGGGATATGAGGACCAGGAGCTGGGATATGAGGACCAGGAGCTGGGATATGAGGACCAGGAGCTGGGATATGAGGACCAGGAGCTGGGATATGAGGACCAGGAGCTGGGATATGAGGACAAGGAGCTGGGATATGAGGACCAGGAGCTGGGATATGAGGACAAGGAGCTGGGATATGAGGACAAGGAGCTGGGATATGAGGACAAGGAGCTGGGATATGAGGACCAGGAGCTGGGATATGAGGACAAGGAGCTGGGATATGAGGACCAGGAGCTGGGATATGAGGACAAGGAGCTGGGATATGAGGACCAGGAGCTGGGATATGAGGACCAGGAGCTGGGATATGAGGACCAGGAGCTGGGATATGAAGAGAGAGAGAGAGAGAGAGAGAGAGAGAGAGAGAGTGAGAGAGATATTTTATTTCTTTATTTATTCACCCCATACCCATCCCCTGGACGCATAATGGGTTCAGCAACTCAACCCCATTGTACGTTTAGCTTAGCAAGTGATAATCTTGTGAAACTAGTTACACATTGGTTATCATTGAACATGACAACATATTCCGTATTAACTGTTTTCTGATTTAGAGCTTCTATGCCTCTTACTAATGCTGTTGCATCAGGGTTCAGCTGAAAGACGAGTTCACCAAAAGTCATGTTCGTTTTCAAAGTGAAGAAAAAGAAGTGTATAACTGTAGAATGTATTACACTTATTATAAAATTGCACAACGTTTCGAATCTACATGGTTCATTCTCAAGTGATGTTACAGAACAGGGCATTATATTTATACTAATAGTGGGTCAGGTGAATACAAATGGATGGAATAATGGGGTCAGGAGAAAAGAAGCTAAGGATCAGAAGGATAAATAGGGTACACATAAAGATTAATCCAGTGTAGTGGACGCTGTTTGTCGGGCAGTGTCTCCTATGTTAGTATCTTGACGTTCTGGTCTTGTCCTTACTCTCATGGTGGGTAGAGTAAATAGTTCCGTGATTTGGATATTCATGGTAGGTCTTTCTATTCTTATGTGGATTGCTTCAAGAATTTGTAATCTTCTTACATCTTGGGTTTTGTCCATTATACAAGTGTTTTTATTCAACATTTGTCTTGTTAGGGTGATGTCATGGGCTTGTCTCATGTGATTTCTGGGGCACCGGATTGAAGATGACAGGTCAAACGCCTCTTTTTTATGTTCACTGTGCATAGTTGATTTGTAATATAATTTTATTGGAGGTGTTGTGGTTTCTGTTTTAGGTTCAGGCTTGTACCATCGGTCCAGGTGTCTTCATATAGCAGCGTTTATTTCCGTGTTGCTATATCCGTTGTTCACCAGTACCTGAGTTACTCTTTCAAACTCTACTCACGTTGCTCCATTCAGAGCAGTGGGTAAGCGCTCGACGAATATAAGCATTGAGAACACTGGCTTTGTATCTTTGGGGGCACTCACTTCTACCGTTCAGGCATAATCCTATGTTGGTGGGCTTGGTATATACGTTGGTGCTTAAAGAGGTTCCTGTTTTTGTTATTAGTACATCCAAGAATGGCAGACTGTTATTTTCACTATTTTCATGTGTAAATCGGAGTACTGACTCTCTCTCTCTCGAGATGGTTTTTTGATTAATTAGTTCATCTGAGTCTTTTACTATGACGAATATGGCATCTACATAACGGCAGTATATAGTTGGTTTTTGTCTTCTACTGAAAACTCTGTCTTCGATGGTTCCCATGTAAAAATTAGCGAATAACACTCCTAAGGGGGAGCCCATTGCTGCTCCGTCTATTTGTAGATACATGTCTCCTTGTGGACTGATGAAAGGGGCTTCCTTTGTACATGCTTCGAGAAGACTCTTCAAGTGTGGCTCAGGTATGTGTAATTTGGGAGTGCTCTCGTCTCTGTATACTCTGTCCAGTATCATTCCTATGGTTGTGTCGACTGGCACGTTGGTAAGTAGGGACTCGACGTCCAGGGAAGCAATGATTCCATCGGGCTGGGTAGATTTGATTAATTCTAGGAAATCTGCTGATGATTGTAGACTACAGTTGATTGGGGTGTTTGGAGTTAGGAGTTCGTTAAGTCTTTTTGCCAGGTGATAGGTTGGAGTTGGTATTTGGCTGATTATTGTGCGTAGTGGGTTACCTGGTTTGTGTCTTAACATTGCCATAGGCATATCCTAAGCCATAGTCGCCTTGAAGTTTAGTGAAATGAACACTACCTTTCTTTGCGTTGATTGCGGTAATAGTTTTGTTCACTTTGCGTTTAAGGTCTTCCACGGGGTTCCTCGTGATTCGTTGACATTTGGTGTTATCACTAAGGATATCACTAATTTTGTTCATGTATTCTTGGGTTGGAATCAACATATATGCTGCTGTCTTGTCGGCTGTTCTTATTGTAACTGTTTCGAACTTTACCTCCTGTAGAGGTTAGTTTCAAGTATAAAATGTTGGTGGACACAATGGAGACTTTTTGATATAAAAATATCTACAGCTGATTTCAGGGAGGCCGCGAGTTACCAGTAATACTCCGCCCAGCAAAGTAGTACCTTCTCAGCTGGAGATTGTCAGGAATAATGTGAACTGGAATAGCCAAACTATGTGAGGGAAAAATAGACTCAATCTAAAAGCATGCATGGGGAATATGGCAAATAAAGTCAATAAAGTGTTTGATTGCAAATATAGAGCATAGAGTATTAAGGGGCGATGACGCAAGAGAGGTGGACGCCATCTTGACTTGAGGGGAGGTGTATCGCTGCCGACCCGGTCCCGCTATTTGAGGGGTTTTCTCCGGCCGTACAGTCAGATAAGCCGACCTTTGTATCTAAACAGGGATGCAAGATATTGTAGACTAGTTATGCAGACTTTGGGGGTGTTCTTTAAGAGGGAGTCCAGGTTTCCTAGAGGTGTAAATATGTCATTGGTGGATAGTTGTGGGGGCTGTGTGGCTGTTCCAGGTTTGGGACGGAGAGCCTTAATTACGGTATCTAGAGCCCTCGTGGGGGGTTATATCACCTCATATTGACCTTGTGTTGTAAGGAACAACATTTCATATGTGTAATATCGTGTGTTTTATACATATAAATATGTGTGTTTATCCTAGGCTGTTTACCTTACTCCTTGATTTGCCCCCTAGACTCAAGTACAGTCATCTATATCCCTAGACAACATTTAAAATAAAGTCTCCGTGGTGTAGTGGTAAGACACTCGCCTGGCGTTCCGCGAGCGCTTTGTCATGGGTTCGTATCCTGGCCGGGGAGGATTTACTGGGCGCCTTAACTGTAGCCTCTGTTTAACGCAACAGTAAAATGTGTACTTGGTTGTAACAACGATTCTTCGCGGCGGGGATCGTATTCCAGGGACCTGCCCGAAACGCTACGCGTACTAGTGGCTCTACAAGAATGTAACAACTCTTGTATATATCTCAAAAAATAAAAAGTCCACCACCACTAATTTCTTAACAGGCCTCTGAGACACAGCTATGACAAAAGTGGTTGACACACGCATCCATGGCAGTTACATCTTCCAGATTGTCGAGTTGTTTTGTGCTTCTTTGAGTCGTGGGGTTAACATTCTTGATGAATATGTTCCGCGTTTTTTCCCCGGCTTCTGTTGGTAGTTCAGCCTGAAGTGTCACTGGTTATGACTTTTTGTTGTCTTCTAGCTTGTGGGCCCAACCACTTGGGCTGGACGGTAGAGCGACAGACTCGCTTCATGCAGGTCGACGTTCAATCCCCGACACGTCCAAGTAGTTGGGCATCATTCCTTCCCTCCGTCCCCTCCCAAATCCTTGTCCTGACCCCTTCCCAGTGCTATACAGTCGTAATGGCTTGGTGCTTTCCCCGATAATTCCTTCCTTCCTTCTAGCTTGTGGATGTCGTCCTGAAGCATTTCGATTTCAAGGCGTTTTTTATGCTTTTTTGGTTTTGATAAGAATTGATATTTTAGACCAACATTCAAGAGGTCTTGTTGGTCCTGAATGAGATCTTAAGTTGTGAGGTTTATGTAGCCATCTTTTGGGCGAGGGATCTTTAACTGTCCACCGTTTAGGGCTTTGGGACCTTTGGGAGGTTCTTGGGTTTCTATCTGAGTTTTGTGTTGTTGTTAACAGCCCTAAACGGTGGATAGTTAAAGATTCCTCGTCCAAAAGATGGCTACATAACCCTCATCACTTACGATCTTACCCAGGACCAACAGTACTGTTGGTGTGCTGTAAGTGCCCAGGACCAACAGTACTGTTGGTGTGCTGTAAGTGCCCAGGACCAACAGTACTGTTGGTGTGCTGTAAGTGCCCAGGACCAACAGTACTGTTGGTGTGCTGTAAGTGCTGTGACTGGCCAGAAGATAGTAAGGCGGGGTTAGGGAGCTACATCTTGACTCGTCAAGACAACAAGGTGAGTAGAGACATGAGGTGAAGTGCGAGAGAGAGGAATGTGGGGGGAAAAAGAGGTGTAATGTAGAGAGGAGGAAGGCGTGAGAGTCTATAGGGGGAGGGGGAGGGGGCGTGGCAGGAGGGAGGGAGGGGGCGTGGCAGGAGGGAGGGAGGGAGGGGGCGTGGCAGGAGGGAGGGAGGGAGGGGGCGTGGCAGCAGGGAGGGAGGGGGCGTGGCAGGAGGGAGGGAGGGGGCGTGGCAAGCAGTAAAAAGGCCTGGACGATGTTGGAGGGACCCACAGCATCGTCAGCCTTCACTCTGGACAGCACGGTGAGCACCTCACACACAGCCACACACGGAGACAGAATAGCTCGGGGGGACATGATCACCACATACAAGTTTCTCAGGGGAATTGACAGGGTAGACAAGGATAAACTATTCAACACTGGTGGTACACGAACAAGGGCACACTGGTGGAAGCTGAGTACCCAAATGAGCCACAGAGACATTAGAAAGAACTTTTTCAGTGTCAGAGTAGTTAACAGATGGAACATATTAGGCAGTGATGTGGTGGAGGCTGACTCCATACACAGTTTCAAGTGTAGATATGATAGAGCCCAATAGGCTCAGGAACCTGTACACCTGTTGATTGACGGTTGAGAGGCGGGACCAAAGAACCAGAGCTCAACCCCCGCAAACACAACTAGGTGAGTACAGCCACACATGGCCAAACACACGTGGTGCAGGGAACACGAGGACAAGGCCACACTAGGGTCCGTGGACACACACACGCGGTGCAGGGAACACGAGGGCAAGGCCACACTAGGGTCCGTGGACACACACACGCGGTGCAGGGAACACGAGGGCAAGGCCACACTAGGGTCCGTGGACACACACACGTGGTGCAGGGAACACGAGGGCAAGGCCACACTAGGGTCCGTGGACACACACACGTGGTGCAGGGAACACGAGGGCATGGCTACACTAGGGTCCGTGAACACCGCAGAGCCACACGGGCTGAAACATCTTTACTGAGAGTGAACCGAGGCCTTGTTATAGTGACTTTCATATCTTGTGTAGGACATAAGACTTGACTACTGTCTCTAGCCGGCTACTGGATGGAGCTTGACCTCTCTCTCTCTAGCTGGCTACTGGGTGGAGCTTGACCTCTCTCTAGACGGCTACTGGGTGGAGCTTGACCTCTCTCTCTCTAGCTGGCTACTGGGTGGAGCTTGACCTCTCTCTCTCTAGCTGGCTACTGGGTGGAGCTTGACCTCTCTCTCTCTAGCTGACTACTGGGTGGAGCTTGACCTCTCTCTAGACGGCTACTGGGTGGAGCTTGACCTCTCTCTAGACGGCTACTGGGTGGAGCTTGACCTCTCTCTCTCTAGCCGGCTACTGGGTGGAGCTTGACCTCTCTCTAGACGGCTACTGGGTGGAGCTTGACCTCTCTCTCTCTAGCTGGCTACTGGGTGGAGCTTGACCTCTCTCTCTCTAGCTGACTACTGGGTGGAGCTTGACCTCTCTCTAGACGGCTACTGGGTGGAGCTTGACCTCTCTCTAGACGGCTACTGGGTGGAGCTTGACCTCTCTCTAGACGGCTACTGGGTGGAGCTTGACCTCTCTCTACCCAGCTACTGGGTGGAGCTTGACCTCTCTCTACCCAGCTACTGGGAGGAGCTTGACCTCTCTCTACCCAGCTACTGGGTGGAGCTTGACCTCTCTCTAGCTGGCTACTGGGTGGAGCTTGACCTCTCTCTCTCTAGCTAGCTACTGGGTGGAGCTTGACCTCTCTCTCTCTAGCCGGCTACTGGGTGGAGCTTGACCTCTCTGTCTCTAGCCGGCTACTGGGTGGAGCTTGACCTATCTCTCTCTCTAGCTGGCTACTGGGTGGAGCTTGACCTCTCTACCCAGCTACTGGGTGGAGCTTGACCTCTCTACCCAGCTACTGGGTGGAGCTTGACCTCTCTACCCAGCTACTGGGTGGAGCTTGACCTCTCTCTCTCTAGCTGGCTACTGGGTGGAGCTTGACCTCTCTACCCAGCTACTGGGTGGAGCTTGACCTCTCTACCCAGCTACTGGGTGGAGCTTGACCTCTCTCTCTCTAGCTGGCTACTGGGAGGAGCTTGACCTCTCTCTAGCTGGCTACTGGGTGGAGCTTGACCTCTCTCTCTCTAGCCGGCTACTGGGTGGAGCTTGACCTCTCTCTCTCTAGCCGGCTACTGGGTGGAGCTTGACCTCTCTCTCTCTAGCTGGCTACTGGGAGGAGCTTGACCTCTCTCTCTCTAGCTGGCTACTGGGAGGAGCTTGACCTCTCTCTAGCCGGCTACTGGGTGGAGCTTGACCTCTCTCTCTCTAGCCGGCTACTGGGTGGAGCTTGACCTCTCTCTCTCTAGCTGGCTACTGGGAGGAGCTTGACCTCTCTCTAGCTGGCTACTGGGTGGAGCTTGACCTCTCTCTCTCTACCCAGCTACTGGGTGGAGCTTGACCTCTCTCTCTCTCTAGCTGGCTACTGGGTGGAGCTTGACCTCTCTACCCAGCTACTGGGTGGAGCTTGACCTCTCTCTCTCTAGCTGGCTACTGGGAGGAGCTTGACCTCTCTCTAGCTGGCTACTGGGTGGAGCTTGACCTCTCTCTCTCTCTAGCCGGCTACTGGGTGGAGCTTGACCTCTCTCTCTCTAGCTGGCTACTGGGTGGAGCTTGACCTCTCTCTCTCTAGCTGGCTACTGGGTGGAGCTTGACCTCTCTACCCAGGTACTGGGAGGAGCTTGACCTCTCTCTACCCAGGTACTGGGAGGAGCTTGACCTCTCTCTACCCAGGTACTGGGTGGAGCTTGACCTCTCTCTCTCTAGCTGGCTACTGGGAGGAGCTTGACCTCTCTCTCTCTAGCTGGCTACTGGGTGGAGCTTGACCTCTCTCTACCCAGGTACTGGGAGGAGCTTGACCTCTCTCTACCCAGGTACTGGGAGGAGCTTGACCTCTCTCTACCCAGGTACTGGGTGGAGCTTGACCTCTCTCTCTCTAGCTGGCTACTGGGTGGAGCTTGACCTCTCTCTCTCTCTAGCTGGCTACTGGGTGGAGCTTGACCTCTCTCTAGCTGGCTACTGGGTGGAGCTTGACCTCTCTCTACCCAGTTAATGGGTGGAGCTTGACCTCTCTCTCTCTCTAGCTGGCTACTGGGTGGAGCTTGACCTCTCTCTACCCAGGTACTGGGTGGAGCTTGACCTCTCTCTCTCTAGCTGGCTACTGGGTGGAGCTTGACCTCTCTCTACCCAGGTACTGGGTGGAGCTTGACCTCTCTCTCTCTAGCTGGCTACTGGGTGGAGCTTGACCTCTCTCTCTCTACCCAGCTACTGGGTGGAGCTTGACCTCTCTCTCTCTAGCTGGCTACTGGGAGGAGCTTGACCTCTCTCTCTCTAGCTGGCTACTGGGTGGAGCTTGAGCTCTCTCTCTCTCTAGCCGGCTACTGGGTGGAGCTTGACCTCTCTCTCTCTCTAGCCGGCTACTGGGTGGAGCTTGACCTCTCTCTCTCTAGCCGGCTACTGGGTGGAGCTTGCCCTCTCTCTCTCTCTAGCTGGCTACTGGGTGGAGCTTGACCTCTCTCTCTCTACCCAGCTACTGGGAGGAGCTTGACCACTGTGTTCAGTCCCAGCTCTCCTGTGTAACTCAGAGTTCTGGCTACAGATGAGGTCAGTATGTATGATGGTCGTGGTGGTGGTCGTGGCGGGGACGACGACCCTGGCTCAGAGGTACGACTTGGAGTGTGAGACTCTGCCCTCCACCATCCACGTCGCCAAGGGTGAGTACCCCACCTGGTCCTCGAACCCCGGAGGTCACCCTTGAGGTCACCCCGTTCCTCCAGTACCTCCCGTGTTCTCCTATAAAGATGCTTATAATGTGCTGTGATGAATAATGCCACTGTTGACGATATGATGAGTCGGTGGTGGGTATAATGAGTGGTGTGTGTCATTGTAGAGGAGTTCGACGAGGCGGGGAGAGTAGTGAGGACGTGTGAGGAGGACCTCGCCGTCAACAAGTGTGAGGGAGAGTGCATCTCCAAGGTCCAGCCCTCCGTCAACACGCCCTCTGGGTTCCTCAAGGTCGGTCACTCATCATTGTACCAGGGGTCACTCATTGTACCAGGGGTCACTCATTGTACCAGGGTCACTCACTGTACCAGGGGTCACTCATTGTGCCAGGGTCACTCACTGTACCAGGGGTCACTCGTTGTACCAGGGTCACTCACTGTACCAGGGGTCACTCATTGTACCAGGGGGTCACTCATTGTACCAGGGTCACTCACTGTACCAGGGGTCACTCATTGTACCAGGGGTCACTCACTGTACCAGGGGTCACTCATTGTACCTGCGCCACTCACTGTACCAGGGGTCACTCACTGCACCAGGGGTCACTCATTGTACCAGGGGTCACTCACTGTACCAGGGTCACTCACTGTACCAGGAGTCACTCACTGTACCAGGGGTCACTCACTGTACCAGGGTCACTCACTGTACCAGGGGTCACTCACTGTACCAGGGTCACTCACTGTACCAGGGTCACTCACTGTACCAGGGGTCACTCACTGTACCAGGGTCACTCACTGTACCAGGGGTCACTCACTGTACCAGGGGTCACTCACTGTACCAGGGTCACTCACTGTACCAGGGTCACTCACTGTACCAGGGTCACTCACTGTACCAGGGTCACTCACTGTACCAGGGGTCACTCACTGTACCAGGGTCACTCACTGTACCAGGGGTCACTCACTGTACCAGGGTCACTCACTGTACCAGGGTCACTCACTGTACCAGGGGTCACTCACTGTACCAGGGTCACTCACTGTACCAGGGTCACTCACTGTACCAGGGTCACTCACTGTACCAGGGTCACTCACTGTACCAGGGTCACTCACTGTACCAGGGTCACTCACTGTACCAGGGTCACTCACTGTACCAGGGTCACTCACTGTACCAGGGTCACTCACTGTACCAGGGTCACTCACTGTACCAGGGGTCACTCACTGTACCAGGGTCACTCACTGTACCAGGGGTCACTCACTGTACCAGGGGTCACTCACTGTACCAGGGGTCACTCACTGTACCAGGGGTCACTCACTGTACCAGGGGTCACTCACTGTACCAGGGGTCACTCACTGTACCAGGGGTCACTCACTGTACCAGGGGTCACTCACTGTACCAGGGGTCACTCACTGTACCAGGGGTCACTGTACCACTGTACCAGGGGTCACTCACTGTACCAGGGGTCACTCACTGTACCAGGGGTCACTCACTGTACCAGGGTCACTCACTGTACCAGGGGTCACTCACTGTACCAGGGGTCACTCACTGTACCAGGGGTCACTCACTGTACCAGGGTCACTCACTGTACCAGGGTCACTCACTGTACCAGGGGTCACTCACTGTACCAGGGGTCACTCACTGTACCAGGGGTCACTCACTGTACCAGGGGTCACTCACTGTACCAGGGGTCACTCAGTGTACCAGGGTCACTCACTGTACCAGGGGTCACTCACTGTACCAGGGGTCACTCACTGTACCAGGGGTCACTCACTGTACCAGGGTCACTCACTGTACCAGGGTCACTCACTGTACCAGGGTCACTCACTGTACCAGGGGTCACTCACTGTACCAGGGTCACTCACTGTACCAGGGTCACTCACTGTACCAGGGTCACTCACTGTACCAGGGGTCACTCACTGTACCAGGGTCACTCACTGTACCAGGGTCACTCACTGTACCAGGGTCACTCACTGTACCAGGGGTCACTCACTGTACCAGGGTCACTCACTGTACCAGGGTCACTCACTGTACCAGGGTCATTCACTGTACCAGGGGTCACTCACTGTACCAGGGTCACTCACTGTACCAGGGTCACTCACTGTACCAGGGGTCACTCACTGTACCAGGGTCACTCACTGTACCAGGGTCACTCACTGTACCAGGGTCACTCACTGTACCAGGGTCACTCACTGTACCAGGGTCACTCACTGTACCAGGGGTCACTCACTGTACCAGGGTCACTCACTGTACCAGGGTCACTCACTGTACCAGGGGTCACTCACTGTACCAGGGGTCACTCACTGTACCAGGGTCACTCACTGTACCAGGGTCACTCACTGTACCAGGGGTCACTCACTGTACCAGGGGTCACTCACTGTACCAGGGTCACTCATCATTGTACCAAGGTTGTACCTGGTCTTGGAGTGACCACACGCGGGGAGTAATAATATATGACAAAATAAAACACATGAACCCGGATGTGTTGGAGACAAACAACTGACAAACATAAACAAGGTACTGTGGATGTACACTGTACATACTGTGTACAGTGTAGTGGTGATGTACAGTGTAGTGGTGATGTACAGTGTTGTGGTGATGTACAGTGTAGTGGTGATGTACAGTGTTGTGGTGATGTACAGTGTAGTGGTGATGTACAGTGTTGTGGTGATGTACAGTGTTGTGGTGATGTACAGTGTTGTGGTGATGTACAGTGTAGTGGTGATGTACAGTGTTGTGGTGATGTACAGTGTTGTGGTGATGTACAGTGTTGTGGTGATGTACAGTGTAGTGGTGATGTACAGTGTTGTGGTGATGTACAGTGTAGTGGTGATGTACAGTGTTGTGGTGATGTACAGTGTAGTGGTGATGTACAGTGTTGTGGTGATGTACAGTGTAGTGGTGATGTACAGTGTTGTGGTGATGTACAGTGTAGTGGTGATGTACAGTGTAGTGGTGATGTACAGTGTATTGGTGATGTACAGTGTTGTGGTGATGTACAGTGTAGTGGTGATGTACAGTGTTGTGGTGATGTACAGTGTAGTGGTGATGTACAGTGTTGTGGGACTTGGACCCATCCTGTTTCTAATGTAAACGATCTTCCGGAGGGTATAGACTCATTCCTCTCGATGTTTGCTGATGATGCAAAAATTATGAGAAGAATCAAGACGGATGAAGATAGACAGAGACTACAGGATGACCTGGATAAACTGGAGGAATGGTCTAGAAAATGGCTGCTGAAGTTCAACTCAGGAAAGTGTAAGGTGATGAAATTAGGCGAAGGGAGCAGGAGGCTGAACACAAGGTACCATCTGGGAGGTGAAATCCTGCAAGAGTCAAATAGAGAGAAAGATCTGGGGGTTGATATCACACCGAACCTGTCCCCAGAGGACCATATCAAAAGGATATCATCAACATATGCTAGGTTCGCCAACATAAGAACTGCCTTTAGAAACTAAAGTATGGAATCGTTCAAGACCTTGTATACAACTTATGTCAGACCAATCCTGGAATATGCAGCTCCAGCCTGGAGTCCATACCTAGTTAAACACAAAGTTATAGAAGATTCAGCGGTATGCCAGCAGGCTCGTCCCGGAACTGAGAGGTATGAGCTACGAGGAAAGGCTAAAGGAGCTGAACCTCACATCCCTGGAAAACAGAAGAGTAAGGGGAGACATGATAACCACGTACAAAATTCTCAGGGGAATTGACAGGGTGGACAAAGACAAACTCTTCAGCACGAGTGGGACACGAACAAGGGGACACAGGTGGAAACTTAGTGCCCAGATGAGTCACAGAGACGTTAGAAAGAATTTTTTCAGTGTCAGAGTAGTTAACAGATGGAATGCATTAAGTAGTGATGTGGTGGAGGCTGACTCCATACACAGTTTATAATGTAGATAAGATAGAGCCCAGTAGGCTCAGGAACCTGTACACCTGTTGATTGACAGTTGAGAGGCGGGACCAAAGAGCCAGAGCTCAACCCCCGCAAGCACAATTAGGTGAGTTAGGCGAGAACACCACCACAACACCACCACAACAACACCACACCACCACAACACAACAACACCACCACCACACCACACCACACCACAACACCACCACCACACCGCAGGTCAGGCCCCCCCCCCCACCGTCTCGTAAGGTCGTGCTGCCATTTCCGTGTTGACCAGACGCCTCGGTGAACACGTCGGGACCCCAAACATTGACCTCCCCGACAATTGGTTATCAAGTTATCATTATCACTGATCATTTGACCACTAAATTATCAATTTAGTGGTCAAGGAAGATACCGCCATTAATGTCCAGGTCCTCTTATGACGTGTCAAAGTTTTCAAAATGTCAGACTTAATTTTGACCCACAAAGAGTCGCCTCATAACACTGTCAGTCATAGAATTCACCGGTCAGAAATGTGCAGCTGCACCGGAGGTGTTGCACTCAAGACGGAGGTGTTGCACTCAAGACGGAGGTGTTGCACTCAAGACGGAGGTGTTGCACTCAAGACGGAGGTGTTGCACTCAAGACGGAGGTGTTGCACTCAAGACGGAGGTGTTGCACTCAAGATGGAGGTGTTGCACTCAAGACGGAGGTGAAGGAGTACACCAAAGTACACCTGTGATGCATTAACAACACAGGGAGGCAGAGGAGAGAGTGTGTAATCCGCACCTTGTGGAGTGTAGAGCCAATGTTGATCAAGTACAAAGGTTTGCAAGAAGATATTGGTGCCAGAGGTTAGAGGCCTCAAGTGTGCACCAGCTATGGTGAGCCATGGGGGATGGGGGATGGGTGGGGAGGGCGAGGGGACGGGAGTTGGGGATGGTGGGGAGGACGCGGGGACGGGAGTGGGGGATGGTGGGGAGGACGAGGGGACGGGAGTCGGGGATGGGTGGGGAGGACGGGGAGACAGGGAAGGTGGCTGTGGCTCAGCAACGCATGGCCGGGTACAGCTAGTTATTAATATAAATAATAATAATCTTTATTATATGATCGATATTACTTTTCTTGTGGCCTTGTCTTTACTACTCACTGTCTTCATCACTGTAATCATCTCCACTACTCACTGTCTTCAACCCTCTCAAGCACAACTAGGTGAGTACAACTAGTGAGTGTCGCCATGTATGTCGACACCCACCCACCAGTCACCCTGCAGAGTCTGGTGAGGTTACTCCCCCATCCGCTCGTCCTCCCCACCATTACCCACTCCCCAATCTCATCGTCCTCCCCACCATTACCCACTCCCCTGTCTGATGCATTCCTAAATGATCTGATGTTCCCATCACTGAAAAATAAGAACAATTAAAAAAAAACGAAATGAAAAACAATAAAAAAATAAAAAAAATAACTATACCCACGAAATGAACGGTATGGTAAACAACACAACTCAATTCCAACGCAATGTTACACAAAATAATTAAATAAAAATAAAAATAAATAAAAATCTCTGAAAATTAAATTAAAAAATGCAATCGGAAACACTGAAATGGAATTGTAAAATATTTAGTGTAGTGTATGTTGCTTTTACGTCCAACAGATGGTGCTGTTTAAAAACAAAAAAACATGTTTTTACCTTTCACAAGTGTAGCATCTATATAGTAGGTATATAAAAACACGCGTGTTGTCGAATGCAACGTTGTGTGAAAATTTCAAAGCAATTGGTAAAGAGGTTTCGGAGATTTCCCTCACATGAAAAAGTTAAAAAAAACATGTTTTTACCTGTCACAGACGTGTCATCTATATAGTAGGTATATAAAAACACGCTCGTATTCGAATGGAACATTGTGTCATTCAGAGATTAGTGACTTTGAACAAAAGCAAACATCTACATATGTATATATAGATAATTATCCTATTGTCATGGCCTTTTTAAACTCAGGTTCTCGGGCAGAACTTTCCTCCTCTATCCTCCCCCCTCTCCTGTCCTCTAACCCCTTCCCCCTACCCCCTCCCCCCTCCTGTTCCCCTCCCCTACCCCCTGCTACACGGGCGGTCAGCCAGGCGGGGTCGTGCCGGCGACCACCTCGAAGGGTGGTCCTTGAAAATAGGGTCGTGCCGGTGTCCGTCCTTCAGCGTGGCATGCCGGCCTGCCTCCGCCTGCCTCCGCCTGCCTTCCGCTCTCTCTGTCCACATGCCTGACGTTCTGTCTAACTTCCTTCCGCTCTTTCTGTCTGCCTTCCTGACGGTCTGCCTGGCTATACCCAGGCCTGGTCTGTCTGCCTGTCTGCCGCCCTGGGGGGGGGGGGGGGAGCACTCTTACTTTCTCTAGTTGCACAAGACTGTTTGTTCTTGTCCTCATTGTTGCTCTTGAGAGTTTCCAACTGTTCTCCACTGTGTGTGTGTGATCGAAGAGGATGTGCTCCAGCTCCCGGCCTCCGCCTCCTAGTCGTTAATCGAATGATTCAACATTGGAGTTGATAGTGTTTAAACCCGTCTATAGGGTTTACCTTCCTGGCCTCCTTCCTTGGTGTGCTTACCTTCAGGTTCTTGCCTATCAGTCAGCATGGGGTGGGGTGAATTATGAGGGGAAAGCACCAAGCCATTACGACTATATAGCACTGGGAAGGGGTCGGGATAAGGATCTGGGATGGGACGGGGGGAAGGAATGGTGCCCAACCACTTAGTGGATAGTCGCGGATTGAACGCCGACCTGCATGAAGCGAGACCGTCGCTTTACCGTCCAGCCCAAGTGGTTGGAACGGGGGTGGGGGTCTAGGTCTATATAACCCGTCTTCTGGCCTTGTTGTATACGGGCTCACCATAGCCCGTGCTACTTGGAACTTGTTCCGAGTAGCTGAATCTATAGCAACAACAACCTTGTTGTACCAGAGCCAGAGACACAGCCAAAGATCACATTCAATCGAAACATATACAGCCACCTACGGGGCTATTCATGCCCGTGCTACCTCTTGTGGCGGCTTAATCTTCATCAATCAGTCACTCTTGGTGTACCTGTGGGGCTATAACTGAACTATCTTGGCGTTCGAGTTTGTTGTGGAGTCTGGACTCAGAGTTGTGGCTGGAGGTGGCTTAATCCCTGGTTGATACCTGGTTGATACCTGGTTGATGGGGTTCTGGGAGTTCTTCCACTGCCCAAGCCCGGCCCGAGGCCAGGCTCAACATGTGATAATTTGGTCCACCAGGCTGTTGCTTGGAGCGGCCCGCAGGCCCACATATACCTGGTTGATGGGGTTCTGGGAGTTCTTCTACTCCCCAAGCCCGGCCCGAGGCCAGGCTCGACTTGTGAGAGTTTGGTCCACCAGGCTGTTGCTTGGAGCGGCCCGCAGGCCCACATATACCTGGTTGATGGGGTTCTGGGAGTTCTTCTACTCCCCAAGCCCGGCCCGAGGCCAGGCTTGACTTGTGAGAGTTTGGTCCACCAGGCTGTTGCTTGGAGCGGCCCGCAGGCCACCAGGATGTGGAAGCTTCCACATCCTCCCTCCTCGCTGCCCTCCACTTCTTGTCCTTGCTTTTATGGACGTTTCCACCGTCCACTTGTGTCGTCTCATCCTACTTTCTCTGACTTTAAAGAGGCTGTCCTTGTCCACTTTGTCCCTCAGTATCTTGTATGTTGCTATCATGTCCACTCTGTATCTTCTCTGACATGGTTACGACTTCCAGGTTCCCTTAATCTATGCTCATAGCTTACTCCTCATAGCTCTGGCAATGATCTTGGCTCACCTCTGTACTTTGTCAAGTTTGGTTGTATGGTTCACAAGGTACGGGTTCCAGGCCGCTGCTGCGTATTCCAGTACTGGTCTGAAGAGGGCTCTGTACGCCACCTTGAAAGAGCCCTCGTTTACCATTCTGAAAACCGTTTCAATCTTCGAGAGCGTCTCGCATGCTGCTGATGTTAGCTTGTTTATGTGTGGCCCGTCGACCAAGCCAGACCAACCTTCCCAAATGGTCGACTTGACTTAGCTCGTCTCCAGCCAGTTATGAGCAATTAGTGCCGCCCCAACCACCAGTCCTCTCAAACCAGCCCGTCCTCCTAAGGTGCCCCAACGTCAAGAAACTGTCCTACTAAAGTGCCCTACGACAATTTTTGGCTTTATGTGACGCATACGTCCGAAAGGTGACGTGCAGCTGTCTAACTCCCAGGTACCTATTTACTGCTAGGTAACAGAGGCATCAGGGTGAAAGAAACTCTGCCCATTTGTCTCTGCCGGCGCCTGGAATCGAACTCGGGCCACAGGATTACGAGTCCCGCGACCTGTCCACTCAGCTGGTTGATACCTGGTTGATGGGGTTCTGGGAGTTCTTCTACTCCCCAAGCCCGGCCCGAGGCCAGGCTCGACTTGTGAGAGTTTGGTCCACCAGGCTGTTGCTTGGAGCGGCCCGCAGGCCCACATACCCACCACAGCCCGGTTGGTCCGGCACTCCTTGGGGGAATAAATCTAGTTTCCTCTTGAAAATGTCCACGGTTGTTCCGGCAATATTTCTTATGCTTGCTGGGAGGACGTTGAACAACCGCGGACCTCTGATGTTTATACAGTGTTCTCTGATTGTGCCTATGGCACCTCTGCTCTTCACTGGTTCTATTCTACATTTTCTTCCATATCGTTTACTCCAGTACGTTGTTATTTTACTGTGTAGATTTGGTACTTGGCCCTCCAGTATCTTCCAGGTGTATATTATTTGATATCTCTCTCGTCTTCTTTCTAGTGAGTACATTTGGAGGGCTTTGAGACGATCCCAATAATTTAGGTGCTTTATTGCGTCTATGCGTGCCGTATATGTTCTCTGTATTCCCTCTATTTCAGCAATCTCTCCTGCTTTGAAGGGGGAAGTGAGTACTGAGCAGTACTCAAGACGGGACAACACAAGTGACTTGAAGAGTACAACCATTGTGATGGGATCCCTGGATTTGAAAGTTCTCGTAATCCATCCTATCATATTTCTGGCTGTCGCAATATTTGCTTGGTTATGCTCCTTAAACGTTAGGTCGTCAGACATTATTATTCCCAAATCCTTTACATGCTGTTTTCCTATTATGGGTACATTTGATTGTGTTTTGTACTCTGTATTATGTTTAAGGTCCTCATTTTTACCGTACCTGAGTACCTGGAATTTATCACTGTTAAACATCATGTTATTTTCTGATGCCCAGTCGAAAACTTTATTAATATCAGCTTGAAGTTATCAGTCATATCAGCTACCTACTACTACTACTACAAAAAATATCAGCTACCAAACCCCTGTAATTACCTACGTTTAGTTACGGGATGAGAGCTACGCTCGTGGTGTCCCGTCTTCCCAGTACTCTTTGTCGTATAACACTTTGATACTACTGACGGTCTTGGCCTCCACCACCTTCTCTCTTAACCCAGCCGTCTACCACTCCCTGTGTGTGTTTATATATATATATATATATATATATATATATATATATATATATATATATATATATATATATATACAGGGTGTCCCAAGATGGGGACTGAGTATGCAAGTACTCACCATGACGGTGCGCTGCTGGTGAGTAGGTAGGGAGGTAGGGAGACAGGGAGGAAGGGTGGTAAGGAGGGAGGTACCTAGGTAGGCAGGGAGGGAGGTAGGCAGGTAGGCAGGTAGGTAGGCAGGGAGGGAGGCAAGGCTGGACCTTCACTGCCACTGACTCACAACACACTGACCACAACCAAAAATCTTCTTGAGTTTTATATTCGGTTCCTCCTCCCCCTCTTCCCCCCCTTCCCCCCCCCTCCCTCCTCTTCCATCCACCTCCTGGCATGATATTATCTACCTATTCCTGTGAGTTCCTTTCCACCAATGCCTCTCCCTCACTGAGGTTCCCGCCCAGGCTAGTCTCACCTATTCTCACCTCACAACCCTATTCCCCTCCCCCATCAGTAGGTGGCCCCAGCACCTAGGAGGACCTGGTGGTGGGGGCGCCTGGGCCTCCACCACAGGTCACACACATGTACCCATGGTCCCCACGAGGGCGTGGGCGTGATAAGGGCAGCGTGGGACATACATCACACACTGTCTCTTACCTCAGGTACAATGCCCCGGATGGGCTTCGTGTAGGGTGTGTGTGTGTGTGTGTGCCTGGGGGGGGGAGAGAGGTGTGTGTGTGCCTAGGGGGGGGGGGAGGGAGGTGTGTGTGCCTGGGGGGGGGAGGTGTGTGTGCCTGGGGGGGGGAGGTGTGTGCTGTGTGTGCCTGGGGGGGGGGAGGGAGGTGTGTGTGCCTGGGGGGGGGGAGGGAGGTGTGTGTGCCTGGGGGGGGGGAGGGAGGTGTGTGTGCCTGGGGGGGGGAGGGAGGTGTGTGTACTCACCTAGTTGTACTCACCTAGTTGTGCTTGCGGGGGTTGAGCTCTGGTTCTTTGGTCCCGCCTCTCAACCGTCAATCAACAGGTGTACAGGTTCCTGAGCCTATTGGGCTCTATCATATCTACACTTGAAACTGTGTATGGAGTCAGCCTCCACCACATCACCCCCTAATGCATTCCTAATAGACACCCCCTAATGTGTGTGTGTGTGCACATGTATGAATAGGGAGTGTTGGTCCACCCATGTTGGGCAGAGTTTCTTTCACCCTATGCCCCTGTTACCTAGCAGTAAAATAGGTACCTGGGTGTTAGTCAGCTGTCACAGGCTGCTTCCTGGGGGTGGAGTCCTGGTCGAAGACCGGGCCGCGGGGACACTAAAGCCCCGAAATCATCTCAAGATAACCTCAAGATAACCTCAAGATAACCTTAAGATAACCTTAAGATAACCCCCACCTATTGACAACGCAGTAATGCTGATTTGTTTTCCAAGCTGGAGGAGAACTGCCTTAAGGGACCCAAGAGCTAAAGCTCAACCCCCGCAAGCACAACTAGGTGAGTACGTCTAAGTGAGCACACAGAGCAGTTCTAGGACTGGTGCAGCTTCTGACGTGTCAATCTGGCTGCTTGACTTAAACTTAGCAAATGCCAGGTGATGAGATCTTGGACCACAGAAAGAGTAGAAGATGATGGGAAGACAACTCCTCGAGGCATTAAAGAACAACATATCAGTGAAAACCAAACCTACGTCAGACCAACTGCAGCACATGAAGCCCCAGTGTAATACACTCACCTGAAAATACCCAACCCAAAATTAAAGTCCAATGATGTGCTATAAAGATGGTTCCTGAACCAAGAGGACCAAGCTGTGAGGAAAGACAGGGACCTACACCTCACTACCGCGGAGAAAGAGAACCGCAAGATGAGACATGATTACGATATACAAAATAATACATAGTCGAGGCTTCAAAATCAACCTTAACAAGCAACAAGAATGCATTATAACAGGTGACAAGAGACGGAAACTCGGGGCCGGGGCCAAGGAGCTGCAGCTCACCCTACACGCACATAAAGGTGAGAAGATATAGGTGAGTACACACAGACTCACCACACAAAGGTACTCATGATAACGTCAAGAGACTCAAACACAGATAAACAGAGGAATAAGAGACACAGATAAACAGTGGAATAAGAGACGCAGATAAACAGTGGAATAAGAGACACAGATAAACAGGGGAATAAGAGACACAGATAAACAGTGGAATAAGAGACACAGATAAACAGTGGAATAAGAGACACAGATAAACAGAGGAATAAGAGACACAGATAAACAGGGGAATAAGAGACGCAGATAAACAGTGGAATAAGAGACACAGATAAACAGTGGAATAAGAGACACAGATAAACAGAGGAATAAGATCCAATCAGCAACAGAAAACGTGGCCTGTGGAAGTCAAGGATAATCTACGTAAAGTTGTGATGAAGCCAAGCAGCCATTAGCGTGGGAAACAGGTGTGGAGGCGTGGGAAACAGGTGTGGAGGCGTGGGAAACAGGTGTGGAGGCGTGGGAAACAGGTGTGGAGGCGTGGGAAACAGGTATGGAGGCGTGGGAAACAGATGTGGAGGCCGTGGGAAACAGGTGTGGAGGAGTGGGAAACAGGTGTGGAGGCGTGGGAAACAGGTGTGGAGGCGTGGGAAACAGGTGTGGAGGCGTGGGAAACAGATGTGGAGGCCGTGGGAAACAGGTGTGGAGCCGTGGGAAACAGGTGTGGAGGCGTGGGAAACAGGTGTGGAGGCGTGGGAAACAGGTGTGGAGGCGTGGGAAACAGGTGTGGAGGCGTGGGAAACAGGTGTGGAGGCGTGGGAAACAGGTGTGGAGGCGTGGGAAACAGGTGTTTAAGCCGTGGGACCACGGGTGACCTACACAAAAATGTCTCACTGGAGAGCCGGAATAAGTCTACATAAAGACTTTATCCTCGTTGGGTCGAGGTGGTCGAGGGTCACTCGAAGGTCAAGGTCGACCTGTGGACCCAGCAAGTGTACCCTCACCACACACACACACACACGCGCGTGTGGCGCTGGTGGCTGAGTGGACAGCACGTTCGCTGGATACGTACTCCTGTGAACCGGGGTTTAAGTCCCGGCGCCGTCGGAAACAAAAATGGGCAGAGTTTCTTTCACCCTGTTGTTCCTGTTCACCTAGCAGTAAATAGGTACTTGGGAGTTAAACAGCTGCTACGGGCTGCTTCCTGTGTGTGTGTGTGTGTGAGTGTGTGTGTGTGTGTGTGTGTGTGTGTGTGTGTGTGTGTGTGTGTGTGTGTGTGTGTGTTAGAGATAAATATATGTAGTAGATATAATAGAAAAAGAAATAGATTGGACAGAAAGGCGGGGTCCAAGAGCTAATAGCTCGTTCATGCAGACGCAAATAGTAAATACACACACTACAAATTATGTGAAAAAGTTTAAATAATTCTGATAAAAGAAACAGGGGCCAGAGTCACGAAGCAGTTACGCAAGTACTTACGAACGTGTACATCTTTCCTCAATCTTTGACGCCTTTGGTTACATTTATTAAACAGTTTACAAGCATGAAAACTACCCAATCAACTGTTGTTATTGTTATAAACAGCCTCCTGGTGCTTCGGGGCTCATTAACTGTTTAATAATTATAAACAAAGCCACCAAAGATTGAGAAAAGATGTTCAGGTTCGTAAGTTCTTGCGTAACTGTTTCGTGAATCTGGTCCCAGACCTAAGAGAGAGAAAACTATCACCTGAGGACCACATGAAGAACGTTGAACACAGTGAACAATAACATTCACCTGTCGAAGGATCGGTAATGCCCAACCTGGAGGAGGACTTGAGGTTTTAAGAGGACGGGTTGCAGGCTCAACATGATCAACGAGGAAAGACTAACGTAAAGTCTAGAGGCAGCAAGTCCAAGTTATCTACTACCTTCAACGTAGGCCTCGTAGCCTGGTGGATAGTGCCCAGGACTCGTAATTCTGTGGCGGGGGTTCGATTCCCGCACGAGGCAGAAACAAATGGGCAAAGTTTCTTTCACCCTGAATGCCCCTGTTACCTAGCAGTAAATAGGTACCTGGGAGTTAGTCAGCTGTCACGGGCTGCTTCCTGGGGGTGGAGGCCTGGTCGAGGACCGGGCCGCGGGGACACTAAAGCCCCGAAATCATCTCAAGATATCCTCAAGATAGCATCATGTTGCATTGTCAATGAAAGTCTTGCAGGTTCGCAGGGACTTCACGAAGAACTTCCTTTGTTCACGGCTCAGTACTGCTCCTCATGTAGGTTCATGAGCCCTGGCAGCGTCCTCCCTGGCCAGGACAGAGGCAGGGGACCACGGGGTTCGAAGCTTCAGTGCTTGAGAACATCATGCAAATACGCGTTGCCTCATATGCTAATCTTTGAACGTTAGTGTGAACCCTGGCTCGTTGTCACCTGGGTGGGAAGGTGACGCAGGGAACGTTCCGTAAGAGCTCCAGCTGGTGAACGGTCTTAGAGTAATGCAATCACTCATCTCTCTCACTTTTATCCCATTTAAATGTACAATTTTGAAGCGAATGACCTTTACCAACGTCTAAGCCTCTAACCAGACCCGGAGCCGGTCGGTCGAGCGGACAGCACGCTGGACTTGTAATCCTGTGGTCCTGGGTTCGATCCCAGGCGCCGGCGAGAAACAACGGGCAGAGTTTCTTTCACCCTATGCCCCTGTTACCTAGCAGTAAAATAGGTACCTGGGTGTTAGTCAGCTGTCACGGGCTGCTTCCTGGGGGTGGAGGCCTGGTCGAGGACCGGGCCGCGGGGGACACTAAAAAGCCCCGAAATCATGTCAAGATAATCTCAAGATAGACCCATTTACTGACGGCTCTGGCGCGGACAAAGCTCTTTCTGACGTCCCTGTGGCTCATTTGCATCTCGAAGCTTGCATTCATGACCCCCTCGTTCTGCTGTTGCTAGTCCTGAAGCAACAAGACGCTTCTTCTTGCTCACTAGTTGAGCTAGTAAGCTGAACTAGTGAGCTTCACCACACCTGCTTACTAGTTCAGTTGAGAGGTTCCTGTCGCTGCCTTGTCCTCTGCTTCGATTCACATGAAGACTAAAGCCATTCTTTTCTAAACACCTGTTGATCAGACACGTGTTTTGCTAGTAATTTGGTACTCCATACTGGTAACACGTGTATGAATACACGCTGGCTCCCTGTCCCCCGACAGGAAGGAAATAAGAAAAAAATAGTAATGATGCTGTTCTTTCAACGACTGTTCTTCCTGTTCTTTCTGGTAACATAACTAAACCTGCGCAGAGACGTAATCAGACTTGCGCAGTGACATA